GGGGGGGGGAAGGCATTCAGGGCATCACACACATCTAGTGTGCGATTGACATACATGACATGCACACATTTGCAGAGCAGCTGGCTGGGTGGGCCGAATAGGCCAGCAAACTGATGCGATTTGTATGTGCGCCATGGCTGGCGGACCCATCAACTGCTCAACCGCATGCATGTATGAGTATATCACTTGGGATGCACGCGTCTCTGCTCTGCACACGTCGTCTATAGCGCCTGGCTGCCACGCTCCGATCGACACGACAAAAACGCACCCACGACACGCCACGCCAGGCATCTATTCACCCAGCCGCCCACCCCCCGGTATGGACAACGAGAACTCATCTCATCGGCAGACATACACACGGATACATAAATTAAAGCGGTACGCAGTCAGGACACACCGATGGACACACCGAGGTTGATCTGAGCTGTGGAGGGAGGGAGGGATGGCAAAACGCACCGCATACCGCCGCCCGACCCCACCCGCTCGCTCGCTCACCTCCGTTGGTTGACAAATGTACGTGTGGACGTAAGTACGCTTATATTCCGATAGACACACACACACACACGAACACGAGAGGCAGGATAGGATACCTTTGGCCACGGACACTCGAGAAAATGTCGGTCGCCAGATACACACACACCCATCAGCACGTGGATGGGATGAATCCGATAGATTGACGCCACACATGAACTGAACACATACATGCACAATGAAGGCCCATCGTCAGTCAATCGGTCAGCAGACAAAGGCAGTGAGATGGACTCGCCCCTCCAACATGTATTGCTGTGCACACAAACAAGGGATCAGTCAGGGTGGGGCCGGTCGTCGCATCGCCCAGCCAGCGGAAACGGGGACAGTGTAGTAATGATCTGAGAGTAACACACACACACCGCCGCTGACGGGAAAACAATACGCCAGAGGGCTGACCATGTATGTGCGTTCGATTGTGGTCCACCGGTGGGCTGTCACTGCATGGCGGTATTGTTATCCTTCGACGCACTCGACTGGGGCACCTCCACCTGCAGACACACACAGAGTGGTAGGTGAGCTATCGATGTGTGCCTGTCCTTGGTGGCATTTATGTGTCTGTCGCGTGCCAGCCACACTGACTTACCCCATGTAGTCTTGCACTCTTCACCCATTGCCTCAGCTTGATGCGGGGTCCCATCTTCAGCGACGCGCCCCACAGGTTCTTCCAATCCTCCTCAGTCGTCCCCGCCAACGCCGCCCCGTCAATAGCTTGCTGCAGGCAGGCAGGCACACAGGCAACCAACCAACACACACACATACACGCGGCCACCAGCAATCTACTCGTTGTCGATTTGCCACGTAGGTACCTCCTCCAGTTTCTCCACCAGGATGCGCAGTAGCTTCGGGTCATTCTCGAACAGTTTCTCCAACGCCAGCTTGACATCCGCCACATCCAACTCTTCCAGTGCCACCTTCTTGACACAGGCAGCAGCGACATCCCCACTACCATCCACCGCAACACCACCATCATCTGATCAACAGGTTAGGGGACACACACACACACACACACACACACACAAGGCGACACATACAGACGGCACCTAAATCGACAGAGTGAGTACGTCGCCCACCTGTCTTGTGCACCTTGGTCGATCGGCACTCCCCCTCTCCCTCAGCCACGGGCGGCTCATGCGCCTTCCGCTTGCCCAGCGAGACCCCATCAACCACCATCCCCCAACCATCGCCCACCAATGGGGCCGAGGGCGCGGCGGAAGCCGCCATGCCCGCGGGAGCCGAGGGCAGCTTGGCTGACTCAGACGTCAGGGTGGCCGAGAGAAGCGTCGAAGGGTCGTGCTGCGCTGACGGGCTCTTGTCCGTCCGCCGTTCTGAGTGGCTGACGTCACTGACATCCTTCAGACAATCGTCGCGGATGATGTGGATCGTCGCGCCGTCCCTCACTGCCGTGACGACAGATGCTCCGGGTGGAGGGTTGTCGAGCAGCTGCGCACCTCTCTCATCGACCATCCTCAGCTTGTCGGGGAGCAGCCATGGCGACAGCTGCCATCCCCCGTTGGCCTGCGATGAGCGTGTGCGGCGTGACAGTTGGCTCCTGAACATCTCCCCCTCGACGTACAGATCGATCCCGGTGTCCTGAACGAAGGGGCCGACGCGCACACGGACAGCCTGATCGTGCTGCGAGTAGACGTTGCGGGAGAAGACGGCCATCTTCTTCAGCCTCTGATACGCACCAGGATCCCGGCCCTTGCCGGGCGTGCACAGCGCGCGCCAAATCTCCCTGCACTCGTTCTCCTGCTCGGATGGCGTGGCTGCGAGGCCGCGCCGACCAACATGCCCATCGACAGAACCAGCCACGGCTATCGGCGGGCTGCTCACTCCCGCACGCTCAAGTGGCTTCCGCTTGGGGTGGGCCGGAAGGTAGTGTGGGTGCTGACGAGAGACGCCGGGTCCGTCCAGCTGTCCGACCTGATCGGTCTTGCTCTTGTTGGCTTGCTTCTTGCCCTGCAGCAGACGGCGGCCGCTTGGGTCCTTGACGAACTCATAAAAGGCCAGGTCAGGTGGGCGCCCGTGCAGCCCGACAGCTCGGCAGACCTTTTTCATGATGTCTGATCGAGCGCAGACAGACAGACAGATGTGTCGATGCGTTGTGTCTGTCTGTGTTTGGTGTTCGCCCATCGACCCACCACCCTACCTGAGAAGCCCCAGCTCCCCCGACGCACCACATCAGCCTGGACGTAGAAGCGCTCACGGGAGCCGTCGTCAAAGGTGCCAACCGTCACAGTGAAGGCGTCTTCTCTGCTGTCGCTGCGGGCATATGACACCTCCAGGCCAGCAAATGCCGCGTCGGTGTCTCTCTTGGTCTTGAGAGTTGCCTCAAAGTCGGCCTCCAAAGGGACAGGGGAGCGGCGACTGGTTGATGGCCCAACGATGGACGCCTTGCTGTCGACAGAGACCTCAAGCTGGGAGCCCCCGATATGGCTGTCCTCTGGATTGAGTCCATCGTCGCCCTCGGGCTTCTCGGGCGTGATTGCCGCAACCTTGGTCTCGACCTCTGCAGCTGAGCAGCCGCCTTTGTGCCGCTCTGCTGCCATTTTGTCCACTGCAGACAGCCGCTGCGGTCGGGGGCATGCAGCCTTGTCGTCCACTTGTCTGTCGGCCATCTCGACATCGCGGTGCTCAGCAGCCGCCCCCCCCTGGCCATCCTCACGATGACTAGCGGCCTTGTCAGGCGTGTATCGGTCCGGGCGAGCGGTGAGCCGCCTGCCTTTTGGCCGGTTGGCGATGGGCTCGTCATCGCTGTCAGCCTGGCCGCCGCCCATACCCATATGGAGGCGGGAAATGGGCTGCGGGTGCTTGAGGGCTGACTCACAACGAGGCGGTTTCGGCTGTGGCTGTGGGTGGTGCTGTTTGTTGCTAGCTGCTGGTGGTGGTGGTGGTGCTGCTGCGGATGAACTCGGCTCTGCTACTGACGCCTGCTGGAGCTTGTGCCCCTCCTTCTGCCCCTTCTGCTTCGGCACCCTTTTGGCTGGGGACCTGGCGAGGGATGGTGTGAGAGGGATGGTGCGTGGCGGCTTGGGGGCCTTGGATGAGAACCCTGCCAGGCCTCTGAAGCAGGCGAGAGGGGCCAGCGGTTTGCCATCCTCACTGCGGCCCTTGGTCTGGGCGGCTGCGTTGAGTGGCGGCGGCGGGGGCTGAGCACGGGACGCAGACAACGATGACGTGAGCCCTGGGGCAGACGCGGATCCAGTGGGGTCGAAGCTCACATTGGACCTATAATGTTGGCGAACCAGACACAACAGCAGCAGACAAGAGACCAGTTGACAAAACACGTCAGATGTGCAAACAGCCGTGTCCCCTTTCTTGCCCACACCTACGTCTTGTGTTTTTTGACGCTGCCGGCCTTGCTGGTAGCCTTGCTGGAGGTGGGTGCTGCATGGCCCGCACCGCCCTTTGCCACCACGCCATTGACACGGGAGGCACCACCCCCCTTGGTGGCGTCACCGTTGGTGGAGCTGCTCACATCACCGGTGCCCGTGCTGGTGGGCGAGGGGCCCTCGTGGTGGTGCCCCTTGGCCGACACCTTCTCCCCCTCGCCCTCCACACCGCTGTCACTCATTCTCTGGTCGGATGGCGCCTTGTCCGTGTGCAGCTGGCCGACATGTTCATCGATGCCGCTGGGCGCCACATGGTCTGCCGGGAGCGCCACATGGCTGCCAGGCACCTCAGCCTCCTCGTTCTCGCGTTGTGGGCGCAGGGGAGGGGGAGCGGGATCATGAGTAGGACCGTTGTCTGCAATCTCCTCCTTGGTCTCCTTGCAATGCAGACTGTCTGCAGCCTCCATCGACTGATTCATCTGCATCGGCAGCATCTCGGCGACCGCCGCAGGTGGCTCCGCACCAATGCCGCACCTGTCGTGCTGGCCCTCGCGACTGCAGCCATCGTTGTCGTCTCGCTGCATGGCGACGTCAGGGGCAGCCTGCTGGTGGTGGATTTCGAAATCCTCCCTCTGCACACCGGGTCCATGCCACAGCTCATCGATCCCTTCCTCGCTCCCATCTCCACCATCATGATGTTGCTGCTCGTGGCCCTTCTGGTGCTTGTCCTCCTCCTCCTCCTCCTGCTGCTGCTGCTGGTCTGTGTCTGTGGCTGCACACTTATCAACTGCCCACTGTGCTGCTGAGCCAGAAGGGCACACCCCCCTCTCCTCACGACCGTGAGCCGGTGTGCCGACGTCGACATCCTCATGCTTCTCACCAAGACGCGTCTTTTCGCCGAGAGTGGAAGCGGGAGAGACAGGTCTGAGCGGGATGGGGTCGGCTCCCGTGACAGTGACACCGGGCTCCGTCTTGACGTCGGCAGCTCGCGGGTATCTGGCGTTAGGACGGGGGCGGAGGGGCTTCTCAGGGGGCTCCGGAGGCAAGTCGCCCCAACGAGGTGACTCCTCGCCCCTGGACAGAAAAGGCTCACCATCGCCTGACAGATAGACAAGACGCACAAGCATTGCACACGATACACAATGAATAATACATCATGGAGTCATTGTGAACCTACCGGTCGTGTGGCGCGGCTCAGGTTTGGCATCTGCAGAGGATCTTGCGTCCTTGGCGCCTTGGCCCTGCTTGACACGGCGCCTCGGTAAGGGCGACCGTGATCTCATCCTGTCGACCTTCGGACGGCACCTGCGGGATGGACTCTGCTCCCTTGGTCTGAGCGGGATGCGGTTGGCTCCTGTCGCGGCTGCATCGGCGACGGACAAGGGATCGCACCGTCCACCGGTCTCCGTCCAGTCGTCGGCAGCTCGCGGGAGGTCTGTTTTGGCACGGCGGCGGGAGCGCTTCTTAGGAAGAGAGTACCAGGGAATTTCTGCACGCCACGCACGATAGACAGACGGAGGATTGGATTGCGTGGGTTGATATGATTCCTACGTACTCACTCGCGGGCTGCGGGTTTTGGCGGCATTTCAGCCCAGGTGGCTCCTTGCTGACCTCCCCCGTCGCCCTGTTTGTGTACACAGTCGTCCCGTCATCCCTTTCACCAACCCACCATTCCCCCTGAGCGTCGCTGTCAGCCGCCTCGCGGGAACCAGCTGGCTTGGACGGCCGCTCCTGCTCCCCCTCCCCGCCTCTGGACAGAGTGTCCTCACCGTCCTCTGACAGACAGATGGACAAGACACGCAAACATCACACACGATACACAAATGAACACATCGTGGATCCACAAGCGCACCGGCCATGCTGCTCCGCTGAGGGATGGCATTTGCAGAGCTTCTGGGGTCCTTGACGCCCTGCTGCGCGGCACCAGGAGCACTGCCGAGATGCTCCTCCCGGCGTTCGTGTCGGACATGCTTCTTCTCGCCAGCTGGCTGCTTGGCCGACGCCGCCCCGGTGGCGGTGCCAATCTGCTGCTCCTGTCGCATGGCTGGTAAGCTCTCGTCAGCCGGCGCACCCTTTCCACCGACGGGGACGGGGTCGGGGATGGTGCACTGCTGGGCATCCGTCGATCTGTCTTGAGCGGCAGCTGCGGCGGGGGCGCCACTGTCGTTGGCCGAGTGTAAGGCGGTCGCGAGTGGCTTGAGCAGCGGAGGCCAAAAGCCCGTGAAAGGCCCAAAGCCGGCCGCTGCAGCTGCACTAGGTGCAGCGGGTGCGAAGTGCATGGTCTGTGGGGACCAGGGTAGCGGCATTTGGACCATGATCGGGGCCATCAGAGGCTGGGTGGTGGGTGTGGGCTCTAAGGACGCAGGAAGGCTGGCCACGTAGTGGTAAGCCGATGCCGCCACAAGCTCATGAGGACCTGACACGACACACAGTCCGGCGGCAACGACAGGACGTGTAACGCTCATGATACACCACAGCCTTGTGGTTCCCGCCCCTCACATGAGCTGACGGCCGGTGCTTTGATGCCCTTCTCCTGCTTGACGAGGCCGTCACCGTCCTGCTCACGCATCCTCTGATCCCATCGACGGCACACAGCCTTCCGCTCAGGCTTATGGTCTGGCGTGACGATGGTTTTGTCGCCCATGGAGGAGACCTCCACGAGTGGATCTGCTCCCTCCTCCACCGGCAGCAGCGAGAGCCTCACGCGCGGCTTGCGGTCTTGCCGCAGACACGTGTTGGTCACCTGTGTCAACAGCTGCACCACCAGGTCTTCCCTTCGGTCTCTTTGCTGAGGCAGTCCCACCCCGTCGATGCTCTTGCCGTGCGGCGCGCCTCCCGCCCCTGACGTGGCCGTGAGAAAGAGCCGCAGCCCCTGCTGCTTGATGCCATAGCGAAGGCAATTAAGCCTCTCGTCGGCCCTTGCCTGCAGCTGCTGGGTCACCTTCTGAAGGAAGTCGAGAGTGTCACGGAGCTTGACGACAGTCGGGGTGCTTCCTGCTGACTGCTGCTGGTTGGCTGGTGCTGCTGGTGTTGCTGTCGGAAGGGAGGAAGATGGTGTGACGGATCTGCCGCTTTGGTCCATGGATGTGGTCGAGAGGATGCTGCTGTAGTTCATGGTGGCTGGCGGCCGAGGCGTTTGTTCTCCCTCACCCCGACCGCCAACTTTCACGGAAAGTGCCCTATCCCTTCTCGACACTCGCCACGCATCAGAGCGTCACATTTCTTCACAGACAAAAGATCTCTGCCTTAGAGTTCCCATCACTCACGCCGAACCACATCGCTCCCTTGCTCAGTGTGACATCGTTCCATTCTCTTAGTTAGTGTCGCCGCCTCACATTGACTGTCATTCACAGTCGAAGCCGTCGTCCCCACCCTTGCCCCGTCCGCCAGTGAGGCGCCCAGTGAGCCGGCTAGTCAGTGAGTGAGTGAGTGAGTCAGTCAGTCAGTCGAATGATGGGTTCCTGCTCTTGGCCCTCCACTTCTTTATCTCTGACCGCCGGATGTTCTGCTCCCTGGTCTTGCGCTTCTGACCCTCCGTCGGCTGACGGGCACGCCGCAGCTCTTTCTGATACACAACACACACACACACACACACACACACACAAGTGCGCACACACATGTGTCCTCCCGGCCGGCAGACGATTGAATGCATGTCAGGTTGTTCTCTATTATATGCCTCACCACCCCTCCCTCCCACCCCCCCAGCAACCCACCCACATGTGCACTGCACGCCACGCCACTTACTTGTCGTTTGTATTCCTCTTTCCTCTGTTGGTCCTTGATTCGAGCCTCCAGCTTCTCCAGCAGCAGCTGCCTGGCCGCTATCCTATTCCGCGTCCGCGACCTCTCAGCCTGGCACCGGATGACCACGCCGGTGGGCTGGTGCTGGAGCATGACACAGTTGGACGTCTTGTTGATCTTCTGGCCGCCCTTGCCGCCGCCCCTGATGAACTTCTCTATCAGGTCGGCCTCGTCGATGCCCAGCTGCCGCATCCGCTCCTCCAGCGACTTCTGGCTGGCGTCGCTCAGATCGAGTGTGAGAGGCAGCACCGTCAGGCTGCCGTTGTCATCATCCTCATCCTCATCATCGCCGTCTGCGGCATAAACCACCGCTGACAAGATCGTGAAAGACGGTGGCCATATGGGCATGGTTGAGGTGGCGAAGCGCGAGGTGGCGAAGGAGGGACGGGAGGGGATTAGGGAGATGAAGGCTGCATTGCTGCCTTTGCTGCTGGGTGGGTTGTGGGTGGCATCGATGCTCCGCCGCCGGTGTGGAGAGAGCAGCCGGAAGGCCCTTGCATTGAGGACGACAAAAGAGGCGTAGATAATGAAAGATAAGGCTAGCCACAGCATTGCTGCACAGAACGCAGACAAGCGTTCCTTGCCGTAGGGGCGGGGAAAACTGCCGATCGCCTGTGCGAGCTCAAAAAGGAAAGACCTCGAGCGAGGAAAGCCGTGAAGGAAGGAAGGAAGGAAGGAAGGAAGCGCGTTGGGACAGAGGAGCACCGGTTGGTCGGGGAAATCAGGCAAGAACTACGTCATTTGTCATTCCGCGATGTTCGTTCCAGAGGTCAGTGAGTAGAACGGCTGACTGCCATCCCATCCCGTGTGTGTATCGATGCTCTATCTCTCTCTGCGTGCACAGGTGGCTCTTCCCGCCGATGACTATGTGGGTCGGCTCACGCCGGTGGCAGCGTCGCTCATCTGCTGTGAGTATGTGGCCTTCTTCGGCGTGGCGCTGTTATGCTCTCTGTTCGTCATCTGGGACGACCGTGAGGGCAGACAGCCCGGCACAGAAGTGAGGGAATGGTCCTGGGCACTCACACCCGTGCTGCTCTTCGATGGGACTGCCATACTCCTCGGTCTCGTTATCGTTCTCAAGAACATCAGGTGGGTGGGTGGGCGATAGACAGACGCGTGTGTCTGGGCAGGTGATGGAGGTGATGGGGTCCCTTGGATGCATCACTCACCTCACCCGGTGGTTTGTCTTGTCTGTCTGTCTGTCATCTGTTTGTTTGTAGGTGGATGTTGTCGACTGAGCTGAGGCTTCGGCTGTTCTACGTGGCGATGTTTGTGACTCGCATGACGACCAACACGCTCATCTTGCTGCACATCCTCCTCGGCCTGCCCCTCTGGCTGCCAGCACTGGCATCCGTTATCGCATACATTGGCCATCTCGCCGTCCACATCATCGGTAGGGACCTACTGGCAACACACACACACACAGACAAAGAGAGAGAGAGATATCATGCGGAACTTAATGGTCTGTGTTGGTGTGCAGTTGTCCGTCGGATGTGGTCGCTGGTGCGGCTGAATGTGATGGATTTGACGGTCACACTCACTTTGGGTTTCGTGGCGTTGAAGAGCGCCCATCTGCTGGAGGGGTGGTCGTGGGATGCGGCCATCTGGCCGCTCTATGCCTTGCTAGCGATATGTGCGATTTCCGGTGCCATAGTGGTGTTCTTCCTTAACCGGGAGGATATCCTGAGGATCGGGGGCATCGCAGTGGTCGTCATGTGCTGCCTATTCGCCGTGGCTTTAAAGGGCATGACAAGCTACATCGGCCATGTGGTAAGTGGACCAGCAGCCGGGGTGGACAGACAAGGATAAGCGAGCAACTTACTGAGATCTGTTCTGTTGTGTGTAATGTATGTCAGCATCACTGGCCTGTCCTGGATTGGATCATACCCCTGTGGCTCGCATTCGTCATCCTCGGTGTCTTTGTGGTCCTGGGTGCTACCATCGTCGCAAGTACCACCACCACCACCACCATCCAACACACAAGGCAACACACCAGGTGACCCACCACATGTCTGTCTGCGCATCTCGTGTCATGATCGATTAGGTCCGTATCTGACCAGTGAGGAGGAGGACCCCACGATGCGTGTGGTCAGCCGGTCGCTGTGGGACGTCCCTGCCGTCAGACAAAGTGGAGCAGACGAGACCGTCGGCACAGCTGATCGCCTGAAGGCTCATGTTCGGGTGCCGCTGGTGAGGAGGGAGGGAGGGGCCAGAAAGGGATGGCGGTACTGTGTGATGGTGATGAATGGCGATACGGAACTAGAGTCGCTGACGTCATAGTTTGATGACAACGTGTCCCTTGGCTGTCTGATGCACACATACATATACAAACTTGCATGGGTTGCAACATGGATGGATGTGGTGAACACAATGTGCCTTTCCCACTTGTCTGTCTGTCTGTCTGTCTGTCTGGTTCATTCAGGTGGCCATCACCAAGACCTTCTTCCGGCCCCCCAAGCCCGAGGACCACTTCACGCCATCCCTGCTACACCACACCGCCGTCCCATCCACCACTCCCTTCTTCCGCAGACACAAAGGCCCCCAACACCCACGGGCAACCACCGGGCCGTCGCCGGACAGCGACACCGATACCGCAATCGACCTCACTCCACTCCCCCCGCCAGCGCCAGACGCCTCCCATCGGCCATCCCCGTCGTCATTTGTGCGTGAGCTCATGACGCGGCTGGCACCTTGGGGCCGGGGCGGTGGCCAGAGCAGCGTGCCGTCGTCTGCGCGGAGTGTGGCTGTGTGTGAGGTGGAGAGGGACGTTGAGCGGCCGGATGACGGGTCGCCGAGCGAGCTGGTGGGCCCGCGGTCTCCCCTGCTGGAGAGCGATGTCATGGTGTCGGAGGTGGACAAGGTGGAGGGGGCAGCGGGGGCAGCACAGTGCTTCATCTGCTGCGACAAGGTGGGTGAGGGAGGGAGCCAACCGACAGTATGGCAGCAACCAGCCAGTGAATGACAGTCACTCACTCACTCATTGGTCATATATTCATTCTGTCCCCCCTTTCTGCAGCCTGCCAACTCGACTTTTCTTTACTGTGGACATGGCGGTTGCTGTGTGTCGTGTGCCCAGCTGCTGTTCCACCGTGGTGCCACATGCCCCGTCTGCCGCGCCCCATCCAGCGCCGTCGTCCGCCTCTGGCCCGTCGACACCATCGAGACCGCCGAGCCATCCCCGCCAGCGGTCATTCCTCCCAGCGAGATGTCAACCATCTCGCCACCGGCAGCTGAAGACAAGAGCCAAGGAGAGGGGGGCTTTGCGCGCTGGCTGGTAACGCGCTTCTTTGGGTCGCCAAGACGCAACCTGTCGATGCCTGTGTGTGGCGGAGGCGATGGTGCGTTCAAGGGTGTTAGTGTTGCGTCGCCGTCTGTGGTGGAACATGTGGGCGAGACCAGCCCGCCAGGCAAGCCGCTCTCAGCACCGTTGCTCAGTAACGGGGCGGAGGAGGGAGAGAGGGTATTGAGGCCCGTGGTGGACGAGAGGGACACCCAGGCAGCGGAGGGCCAGCGCGGCATCAGGCGGAAACGAGTGCCAAAGGTGAGGGAAATGGCAACACACACACACACACACACTCACACACACACAGATGTCTACACAGGTGTGGTGTTTTATGTCCTTCCTCTTGTCTTGCTCTATCTGTGTGTGGTGCTGCAGTGGTCGGCTGGTGCGAGGTTCGTGGGCACGGTGCTGCCGTAGCAGTCCTTTCTTTCTTTTTCTGTCCTCGTGAGAGAGGGAGAAGACCAGACAGACAGGGAAGAATGTGTTGCGGACAGGACCAGCTGAGTCCTTTGTCGGCTGCCCACCGCACCGTATGGTTCACACACGCAGGCAGGGTTTGTGTTGGGTGTCGCTGGCCTGGCTCAACCAACAGTGGTGCAGTCAGTCAGTCGAGTGACCTGTTTTCTGCGAGTGAAGCGGGCGGGCTTGTGTGTTTGGTGGGACCGACTCACTGCCGGCCATGGTGTGTTGTGTACATATGTACCTCTATCGGTATCGTCTGTGGTTCGTTCAGTCGTTCGTTCGTTGAAGGAAGAAAGGCCGTGTTGTGTTCATTCCTGGTCAGTCGCATACATCGCTATGCCGTCGCCTGCTGTCACCCGGTCTGCCACCACCCACCCCCCATCCACTGGCCCCCCATCCTCACACACACACATGGACAGCATCCACCCTCGGTATCCCGTCTATTCATCGCTGCTATCTAGGTGCGCCAGCCTGTGACAGGCTAGGCTGGCGATATGACTCATGTGACGCTGGCAGTGCCAGATGGGGTCGCGTTGGGGCTCGACTGCACAGAGGGCACCTCCACCTACAACCAAAGCACCCAGCGAACATGACGCTGCCTTGTCTGTCATGCGTGTGTCTGTGTTGTCACCCCATCTGCCAGCGCCTGATCGATCCACCTCTTCAACTGCACAGCCTGCATCGCAGCCATCCACACGCATGCACGACGGAGTGTGTCTCGCCGACTCAACTGGACACACACACACATCCATGATGCCCCCCACCTGTCCATAGGCCTGTATCTCCAGCGCCGTCTTCAGCTCTAGCGTCGTCAGACTGGCGATGTGCGCCAGCGTGTCCCCAGACAACAAATGCTGCAGAGACGTGCACACACAGGTGATGTCTCTCCTCTCCGTCATATCCCTACACACCTTCTTTACTGTTGGTGCGAGGCTGCGCAGCTCTTCTAGCGGGTGGCGGGCAAAGATGGCGGCCACCTCACGCAGACTCAGCTGTGCCAGAGGCCGTCGCACGCCCTGCATGGCGTCGCCATCCTCAGCTATGGGGCCAGACACACCTGGCCAGAAAGATACGTACGGTGGTGTGAAGCGGTTCATTCCCATTCCTTTGTCACGTACAGTACCGGCATGGGTGCACAGCTGCCGCTTGACTACTGCCTGTCCCCCGGGTGGCCCATCCGCTGCCCTCTTGCCCCTCTGCTGCTGCCGGGCCTGCCTCCGCTTCGGGCGTTTGGGCGAGGGGGGTGGGGAGGGGGAGGAGCTCTCCGACCATCCTTCATCCATCGCGTCTGGTGGCCCTTCATGGTTCTTCGCCCGCCCCGACCCGCTGCCCTTCTTGGCCACCATGCGGTCCGCCAGGAGCTGGCTGGAGTCGTTGGAAGTCTCACGGCGGTCGGCAGCCGACGCGCTGTCGCCACCGATGGCGTCGAGGACGACCTCGCCCTCGCTGTCTATCCTGGCGTCCCTGCTGCAGGCATCTGCCCCCTCTGCCTTGAGGCGCCTGAGCAACACCGTCACGCTGCCCATCTCCCAGAGGGACTTCTTGGCGGCCTGGGATCTGCCGCCACAGTAAGGGTTGCGAAACATCTTGCCCCTCAGGCGAAGGGGACCGAGCTGGCTGTCGAACGGCCCGACGGACACGTCGACGGCCTGCTGGTGGCGACTGCTGGGGTCGTGGGTGACAAGAACGAGGGACTCAAGGCCCTGGAAGGCCGCATCGTAAGTCCGCGACATCGGGTCGCATTTGTTGAGGAAGACGCCCAGAGCAGATGCTTCCTGGATATGCAGAAAAAGGCGGGGTGGCTTTGGAAGGGCGGTAGTCCGGTGTATGTTGTGTGTACCTGTTCAGCAGGGGTGAGGGTGGCAGGGCCGCTGCGTGATGGTGGATTCGATCGGTCGCGGGAGGACTTGACATTGTAGCTGGGTCTCAGCCGCTGGTGGTCAGACGGCGTCAGCCGCGCCACGAGGGACTCCTTGCTACTATCGTCGTCGGTGGTACCGACCAGCTGCCAACCCTGCACACACAACACACACAACACACACAACACACACATCTCATCACCCCATTGCCCTCTCCCCCCAGCCCTCCCTCGCGCTAACTCACATTGTCGCGGGCGCGCAGTAATTTTGTCACGATGGTGCCCAAGTTCCAGTTGTGCTCGCGCCGGTAGACGTTGGCATTGATGTGCACCATCCCATCGGCCTTCTTGGGGTCGATATACGGGCCTATCGTCACCGTGACGGCCCCCACCTGCCCCGGTCCCAACTCCCGCTTGGTGAACGTGAGATGCTCGGGCCTCAGGCCCCGCATGGCCGTGCTGAACCATCGATTCTCGGGGTCGATGCGGTGCATCAAGTAGGTCTTCAGGTCTTCGATCATCTTCTCGTCTGACGCGTACACGGAGCTGGGGCGGCCCGACTCGCCACGATTCTCCGTTACCGGCGCCTGAGGCTCTGGCTCTGCTGATGCCGGTGCTGCTGCTGCTGATGGGGTCTCGCTGGCTGCTCCGCTGTCCCGTCGGCTGTCAGGATGCTGCTGCTGCTGCTGCTGCCTTGCTGCCGCGATGGCCTTGCCCAGCCTGTTGAAGCCCAACCAGGTGCCGGGCTGGGAGCCGCTAGACTCACCCGCAGCTCCCTCACCGACGAAGCGCCACACGTCCTCCCTCACTCTCACAGGGCCGGCGGGGGTGGGAACTGCGACAGTGACGGTGATGGCATCCTTGTACATACTGTCGGGGTTGGCCTCGAACGTGGCCGCATCGGCGAGGCCGTCGAAGACACTGTCGTACCTGCGGGATGAGGCGTCGCATTTGCCGCGGAAAATGGAGCGGCACTTGTCCAGGAGTGAGGGGCGGGGCCGCCTCTGGTTGGCCAACGCGTTGTTGGCCTCGCTCAAAGTACCCTCCTCCCCGCCACCAGATGCGTCGGCCACTCCCTCGCCCGCAGCGCCGTCGCCCTTCGGCACGGGCCCTCCCTCCATCCTCTCATCATGCTGCAGATGGTCCGGTGCACCATTAGACGCCCCAGCCGCTGCGGGAGAAGAAGTACCGGCACATGATGCCAATGACATGAGGTGCCCTATGCCCCGCTCACCCTGTTGCTGCATCCCAGGCGGTGCTTGTGGTGCCGCTGCCGGTGCAGCCTGCATCCCAGGCAGTGCTTGTGGTGCCGCTGCCGGTGCAGCAGGTGGGTCAGACGCCGGTAGATCTACAACCTCTGAAGCAACAAAATGTCATCTTGTGTGGGATGGAGCTGCTCGTCTATCTTCCATCCAGATTGCACACCTGCTGTTTGGGTTTCTTTCCCGGCAGGCTCCTCTGCAGGTCCTTCGCGATGCAGACACGACAGCCGGGCCGTCCCGCCACACCCTCCGTGAGCATGTTCTGCCATCACTACCTCTTTTACACTTCGCCACCCAGATCTGCCATCATCATCGGCCGCCGTGGGCCCAAAGCCGCACTGCAAAGGGGGCAGCACGGGCTGATCGGCTCCATCAGCCATCAAACCTGGAACACAAAGATGAGCGCAGACATTGCCATGCAGATCTGTTGTCCCTCGGGTTGCGCTCACCATTAGATACTCAATGGAGCCGCCTAATCATGTTTTGTTTACAAACTCGAACGCGAGCTTGGTGGTGGGGATCTGATGTTCTTGGAAAGGCTGTATGCGTGGCCGAGCCCTCTCGCCGTCGCCACAGTCTGCTTTGGGCTGCTAAATGCAGCATCAGCATCAGCAGCAGCAGCATCAGCATCAGCAAAGCCGACGAGTTCTGCATATCTTGTACGCACGGCAAGCATTAAGTCAGCAAGGCAGCAAGGCACCAGTGCTTACCCTGCCTGCGTGTGTCTGCTACCAGATCTCATCATCATCCCATCAAAGATCTCCCCTTCCTCATCGGTCCCTGCCTCTCTCCTCCATGAGGGCCTCCCCCTGCCCCTCTGCCGTGTGCATGACGGCATCGACGGCCACATTGCTGCAGGAGGCGCTTTCCGAGGCACTCACGCAGGCCCTGGGCCACACGGCTGATGTGGAGCTGGTCAGTGGCGGAGGGGGCGGGGGAGGCGGTGCCTCCGTTGGCATCATTGTCGATAAGAGCACAGGCACCAAGTACTTCTACAAGAGCGCAGGTAACAGAATGGACACACGAAGAGTTCAGGTATCGTCGTTTCGCATGGTTTGGTTGTGTGTGTGCAGGCAGTGGTGCTTCGGCGCAGATGCTGGAGGCCGAGTACAAGGGTGTCAAGGATATGGCGGATACCAAAACCATCAAGGTCAGCTACGCAGCCAGCAGACACACAGACGTACAGGTGGACACCACACCACGCTGCAGCTCCTTCTGTCTGCTGCCGGCGTCAATCAAATCAGGTGCCCGATCCCATCTGTTATGGCACGTTTGGGAACGGCGGCAGCCGGTCGTTTGTCATCTTCGAGCAGCTCAACATGGGCCGCTCCGGGGGCGGGGAGAATGCCAGGCGGATGGGCACCAATCTTGCGAACATGCACAGGTGACCACAAGAGGAGAAGGAGAGGACATTTTGGATGTGTGTGAATGAGCACCATCGTTCGATCGCCAGGTCTCTGAGTCCGAATGCCAAGTTTGGGTGGCACATGGACAACACAATCGGGGCCACGCCACAGCCGAACCAATGGTGGGCGGGTGGACCAGGCCAGGCCTCATCCAACACGATGGATGACCACAATCGGTGTGAGTGCGTGTTTCTCTCCCTGCTGGTTCATGCAGGTGTGACACATGGGTAGATTTCTGGGACGAGCACCGGTTAGGTCACATGCTGCGGCTGGCCAACATCATTGACAGCGACAAGGAGAGGAAGCTGCGGGCGAAGGTGAAAGACATCCTCTCCAAACACACCTGCCAGCCGTCACTCGTCCATGGTACCCACAGCCACATCCATCCATCCATTTTGCCCCGACTCACCGACTGGTGTGCTGTGTCGTCTGTGTGGCACTCACAGGTGACCTGTGGACGGGCAACGCTGGGTATCTCTCGGACGGCACACCCGTCATTTTCGACCCGGCCACCTACTACGGCGATCGGGAAGTGGATATCGCTATGTCGCAGCTGTTCGGGCGGCTAAGTGGTGAGTTCTACAAGGCTTATGATGAGGCATGGCCCCTGCCGCCCGGCCACCAGACGAGGAAAGAGGTGTACAATTTGTACCACTTGCTGAATCACTACGTCTTATTTGGCGGGGGGTATATGTTCTCATCCATGCAGTCGATAGACCGGATTATTAACATGAAGGTGTGAGGTGAGCGGCGGTGGCGGTGGCGGTGTGTGTGAGTTGTGTGTGTGTTGTGTGTGGTGGGACTGTCTGTGTCTGTGGGGATCTTGTTTGCCTGAACGCGGCAATGGTCCTTGGCAGCCGTCTGCACGACCTCCTGTTTGCATGTCTGTCTGCAAAGTCTACATGGAAACGTCGCATCACTCTCGTGCCGATTCTCATACACAACACACACATCCATCCATCCATCCACAGCAAGTCACCACCCACTACGTCACAAAATGGCCCCTTCCCTTGAGCACCACTCACTCACTCACTCACTCCCCTCCCCCTCCCTCTCTCTATCCATCAGTACTCCCCCTTGCACACGGTTTCGGTCTTGGTCGCCTCGTGAAACTGCTCAGCCACCTCCAGTAACCGTGCCTCATGGTCGACCTCGTCTGCCGCCGTGCCTTCCTTCTGCACAGCCCCCGAGCTCTCCTCCTCGCCCTCGTCCAGGAAAAAGGACGACGGCGGCGCCTCCTTCTCCTCCTTCTCGGCCGCTGCGAGGGGCACCACAGGCTTCTCGCCGAACCCCATGAGCTTCCTGTAGACGCCGGGGCCGTAGGGGGCTGCTAACAGGGACTCGTGTGTGCCACACTCAACCACCTGGATGAGACAGGCAGGGAGCCATGGCGTGTGTGTGTGTGTGTGTGTGATTGGGAGGGGAGGTCACCTGTCCGTCTTTGACGACGCAGATCTGATCGGCATTCTGGACAGTTGAGAGCCTGTGAGCGATGACCATGACTGTGCGGCCCTTGACCAATCGGTCCAGCGCCTCCTGCACCAGCCTCTCGGATGTTGCATCAAGCGCCGACGTCGCCTCGTCCAGAATCAAGATCTTGCTGTCCTTCAGCAAAGCCCTGTGAGCATAGCAAACCACATCCTGTCCGTGTGTGGGTATTCGGTACTCCCCCCTCGCACCCCCCACCGTGCGATTGCGATCCGCTGCCGCTGTCCGCCGCTCAGTGTGCTCCCCATCTCCCCAACTAGCGTCTCGTACTTGTTGGGGAACCGCATAATGAAGTCGTGGCAGTTTGCCTGTTTCGCCGCCTTCTCAATATCGGCCTGTGTCACCTCACGCCCCCGCCCCACCACACCATAGGCTATGTTCTCGGCGACCGTGCCGCTGAAAAGTGCCGGGGTCTGGCCGACAATAGCCACCTCCTCCACGTACCAGTCTCGCGGCAGCGTGCTGATGTCCACCCCGTCGAGAAGCACACTGCCGCTCTGCGGCCGATAGAAGCGAGACAAGAGGCTGGCGATGGTCGACTTGCCGCCCCCCGATGGACCCACAATGGCGGTGACCTTCCCCGGTGGCAGTGAGAGAGACAGGTTCCGCAGAACAGGTGAGTCCGGCCGAGAAGAGTAGGCGAAGCCAACATTGTCAAAGCGGATGCGTCCCTGGAGCTCTTCGGTGCCGCCAGGGAAGGTGTGCGTCCTCCGGCGGGCGCTCGGGGCTGCCATTGTCGTGTTGGATGGCCTGATGAGGTCCTGGCCCCGCTGCTGCGCCTTGGTGAGGGGGGTGTCGCCTTGGTGGTGGAACACTGAGTCTGTCACATTGACGTCGAGCACGTCGTCCTTCTCAGGCAAGCCTATAGTATCCCACAGCGTCTGAAGGGCGGCACGGGCCCCCTGCAAACAAAGATAAAGACACACACACACACGCACACACACACGCACACACACATGCAGCCGATTCAGACCTCTCTCTCTCTCTCTCTCTCTCTCTCTGTGTGTGTGTGTGTGCTCTAGATGATCCCCGCTGACCCGAACGTCCTCCAGGGAGTTGAGAAGGCCTTGAAAAGCGAAGTTAAGTGTGAAGGAAAAGCCGATGAACGACACGAGCGTCGTCGGCACAAGGGTCCCGCGCCGGACCATAGTGCCTCCGACAATGGCCAATGAGAGCAGTGTGGAGTAGATGGCGGCCCGCGTGACGGCCTCCACTCGGCCCCTCGCCATACCCACACGTCTCGCGAAAGCCCCTGACCTCGCGACGAATCGCCCATACCGGTCGTTCTCCTTCTGCTCGGTCCCGAACGAACGAACCTCTCGAATGTTCCGAAGGATCTCACCTCCTGCAGACGCCTGAAGCATAACATATTAACACGTGGTGAGCTGCTGACTCTCTCTCTCTCTCTCTGTGTGTGTGTGTGTGTGTGTGTGCTGCGTACCTCTGCAGTGAGAGCGGTCGACTCCTCGCGTATTGTGCGCTGATACGTGGCGCTGACTCTGTTGACCGTAAAAGCCATGATGGGTATGACCAAACCGAACAGCCAGGCGAGCTGCGGCGCCGTGCTGATGAGAATCGACAGCGCGATGACGCAGTCGAGCAGCGCACGAACGCCCCGCTGTCTGTCGATGTTGGCCAGGAGGCAGTCTCTCACTCTGCCGAAGGACGTGGTCAGGAGATTGGCCACGTTGCTGGGGCCTTCGCGGTCGAAGAACTCTATGTTTCGAGAGACGACGGACTGGAATGCCGTCGCCTTGAGAACATTCAAGTAAGCCTGCACCACACGAGTCGCCTGCCGGACGTAGAGCAGGGTGCAGATGGGCTCCAACACGTATAGCGACCCAACTGGTATGCACACAACGACAACAACAACAACAACACACACACGTATCGATGAGGGTGAGTCGAGCTGCATTCTATGTCCTGCCTCACGAATAGCGCACGCCTTCGTGAACTCCTGGAGGGGCGCCGGTGTCAGCAGCACATTCAGCACGTTGGTGAAGGCCAGCGGGAGACTGCAGGTGACCACGCTCCCCACGAACGCAAACAGGAAGCCCAGAACAATCCGGCGGCCGTTCCAGTATATCAGCTCCTTCAGCACTCCAGGCCTGGGTATGCCCACCCGGTTCTGCTCCTTCAGAGCGGCACTCTGAACAGCTGCAGCAGCACTCAGAGGCAGCACAGAGCGAGAGGGCTGTGCGATTCGTCTTGCTGCGGACGGTCGCCATCGTGGTCTTGACAGAGTTGGCAGGCCCGAGATGAATGCTGCCGGATCTCCGCGCGATAGATAATGGGTTCTGCAGAGGGCTGGCTGGCTGACGAGGGACAGGGCAGCCAGAGGGAGCACGAGCATGATCATGCTGTGCAGTGGACTCATCGACGGCGAGTCGCGGCGAGTCGTCAGCGGGCGGTCATCTGTTTGGCTTAAAGAGGCTGACGAATCTGACTCATCATCATCTAAGATCCCTTCGTTCCGAAACGCTGCGAGTTTTGCGAGCTTAGAGCCCTCCTGAAAACGAAGGATGCCGCGGGGATCTTTCATCGTCCTCGCCTCATGTCAGCTCGTCGGCTGCCCGCTGTCCTCGAAGGCTCACTCGGCGGATTCAGACGGCGCTCAGACGCACCGCAGTGCGATGGATCTGCCCACGGCACTAGGAGGCGGGGGATGTCTTCAAGGGCCGAATGTGTGTTCAGCCCGGCTGCCGGTGCTGCTGGATGCCGGCATTTCTCCACCCGATACACAAGTAGGGCATAGGAACGAACGGGTGCAGTGGGATGCATCTCTGGCTCTGTGTGTGTGTGTGTGTCCTGGCTGGCTGGCTGGCAGCGACGCCCTACCTGGCCCGTCCGTATGTGAACGTGTTCAACCCCAAGGACACCACACAGCCCGCCTGGATGTCAGACCAGCAGGTGCGTGAGGAGTCAGGAGGCACTCGGAGGAGAGCTAAGGGCATCCTGTCTGTAATGTCGTGTAAACATGTGTGTTGCCCTGCAGAAGGAGTACAGCAAGGTGTTGTTCGGCAAGCCCATCGCGGCCCATCCCGTGTTGGTGGCCCAGACCATCCACAACCTGCCCGACACGGGCATCCCACAAGTCGCTGTCGTCGGTCAGCCAGCTTTAAGGACAATAGATTGCCACCTCACAGACAGACGCATATATCCCTCTCCTCTCCTTCTCTTGGTTCGTTGGTTGGTGCGGTGCAGGCAAGTCCAACGTGGGCAAGTCGAGTCTGATCAACGCCCTCATGCACGGCAAGGAAATCGCCAGGACGTCAGGCACACCGGTAGGTAAGGACGTAAGTAGGCCAGACAGATGAGACGCTGCGTGTGGGGTGTGCGTGGGCATGAATGGATGGATGGATGGCTGTATGTACTGCTGGTGGTGGTGTATATTGACTTACTGTAGAATGCTGAGCAATTGAGAGATCCGACTGTCGCGCCCGTCTCGGGCAACCCGGTGTGCTGTGCATGCGATGGATGCAACCCAATGATGTGTCAAGTGCCTGTCCATACGCATCGTCACAGCACCGCTGTGTGTGTGTGTGTGTGTGTGTGTGTGTGCAGGGCCGCACGCGCCACCTCTTCACCTTTGATCTGTCGGACCACCTGTCTCTCGTCGACCTCCCCGGCTACGGCTTCGCCAAAGTCCCAAAGGTGTGTATGTCTGTATGCCCCACACAGCACACCACAAGACAGACACACATGGGTGGATGGAATGATGCCCCCATGCCGGTCAGTCATGTGTTCTGTGTGAGTGCAGGAGATCAAGAACGACTGGGCAGTGCTGATGGAGGAGTACTTCACTCGTGCCAAGAGGCTGGAGCGGGTGGTGTGTCTGATCGAGTCGACCAGGGGGCCCGAGGAGCTCGACGAGCGGCTGTGGGACATGCTGCAAGAAAAGGGCAGACGACTCATGGTCAGTCAGTAGGGCAGGGACGGAGGGAGGGCCAGCACGACAGAAACATCGAGGACGGACAGGTTCTTGTGTCCCACGTCATCTTTCTGCTGCGGTGTCTGTGTCGGTCCGTCATCCTTCAGCTGGTGCTCACAAAGGTCGACCTGCTCAAAGTGTGTAGTGACAACAGCACCAAGACAACAGACACAGACAGACAAGGGGATATTCAGCCTCTGTGTGTGTGTTGTGTGTTGGTTTGGGTGCGTGCAGCCGATGGATCTGCACAGCCTGATGATGCGCGTGGTGGTGGCGCTTCAGCAGCTGCCGCCCGAGTTGGTCTGGCCGTTCGTCCACGCCGTCTCAGCCAGGGAGCACCTCGGTGTGGCCGAGCTGCGCTGCTCACTCAGTGCCATCGCCTCCGACCACCGGAGAGCGGCCGGCCGGCAGCTCGTCAAGAAGGGGGAGACCCCAGCCAGGACACACAGATAGAGGTGGTAGCGGGCTGGGTGGACTCATTAGTGACACATTGGGACTGACGTGTGTCTGTAGCCTTGTGTGTTGAGACGATGTGATAGTGATCTTGTTGACGGACATAGGTAGGCCTTTATTCATCGACACAAGCCACATGGATGAAGTCTGAGACACTGTTTATTACCCACGGCACACGTCACATGGACAATAACCCGCCCTGTCCCTTCCCTCCCTCCCTCCCCTCCCTCCCTCCCTCCCTCAACCCCCCGCGCCCATCACCAGGGGGTCTTGGCAAGGTGGGGGCATCGGTCCGTTGTCTGAACCTCTTGGCGCACCGTGGCGGTGGGTAGGCGAGATCGGGGCGGCATTCTTCCACCGCATGAGGCAAACCCCACCGACAGCACCCGCCGCATTCGATTCCACCATGTCTTGATTTCCCGGGGGTAGGACTTGTAGTGGATGGTGTTGTCCTCCTTGGTGCGGCGGGTGGGCGGGAGCACTCTTGCTGGGGTGGGCGTGGCCTTTGGCGGCTGTTGTGAGGCTGTAGACAGAGCACACAGAGCCAATCAACACATATATACAGCGATGAATAAGCACACGCGCCACCAGTGAGTGTCACTCTCCTTACCTTCCTCCTCCTCGTCGTCGAGCCCTTGGTCGAGCCAGGGCTCGATGCTGTACGTCGTGAGCGCTGTATCGAACAGGTAGAAACAAAGAGGACGGCTTTGTGCGTGCACCCATCATCCAAGTCTGTGTCTCTCTTCGTGTGTGCAGACACATGTCCGTCTCTCTCACCTCGCTTCAGCGATTCCCCTGTGCTCTCGGAGGTGTCCTCGATGGACAAGCGGCAGCACTTCTCGACCTCTGTAGCGATGAACAGACAAAAACGGAATCACTGCAATTCTATCGTCTCTCTCCCTCTCTGCCTCATTTCCCTTCCCTGACCTCGCTCGCCCAGCTCGGACAGCGGGTCGCTCTTGGCATGCACGTCCACCCCCGAGGTCTCTCCCCCTGAGACCTCGGGGATGCTCTCCAGGCTGCCCGTCTGCTGCAGCAGCAGGCTCGATGACCGGCCGTGGGGGGCTGCCGTTGAAGCGACGGAGGGGCGCCGGTCGCTGGCGGCCGTTGCCGCCCTCCCCTTCTCCCCCTCCCCCACCCCCTTCCCTCCCTCCCCCTCCCATTCCCCTCCCTCTCCCCAGCAGCAGCACTCGAGGGCAGCGGCCGATTTGCCTTGATCTCGGCCATCATCTGACGAAACACACACATGGAGGAGATGACTGGATGGATGGAGGGATACACTGTCGTGGCGTCGGAGTGCGGATGAACCGGTGACTCACCTCTTTCGCAGTCTCCTCGCCCCGACACGCCCCCACGAGCTCGCAGCAAGACGCGAGTTAAGATGATGGCTGCCAGTGATCACGTTTGCTTTTTCATTTCAGCCGTCCTGTCCGACTCGATGCTGTCTTTCACCTCCCTGACAGACCGGTACACATCCCTATAGGTCAGCACGAACCAGCTGGAGCACGAACACAACACCGCTCACACATGCAGCCATCATCGCCTCACGCAAGGCCACTCCCCACAGCCCCATGGCGGTGCCAGATGCGCCGCCTTCCGCGTCACTGCTGAGGAGCAGTGTCGCCCGCATTCCCCCCTCCATCCCCCACGCAATGGCCGCCTCACACACGAGCCTGGCCAGCACTACAATGCCCCACATTTTGACTGTCTTGGGCAGCACGAGACCCCTGGCAGCGCCACCCATCCCTCGCCACGCCGACAGCACGCCCCTGTGGCGCAATCATGGCCACATAGAAGAGCACCGAAGCTTGGCCCAGCTGGCATAGACGAGGATGCCAGAGTGATTCAAACGGTGATGTGCCAGCTCTTTTTCACGCTTATCCCGGAGGTACAGAGTGAGCAGCGGTCGCTAGCACCTCTCTCTGCCGATTGACTGTATATGTCGATTGTTTGTCTTGTGTTTCCACACACAGACAGGCTCAGAAGAGGCACGGACAACAAATATAGAATGTAGGCAGCAATGGTGGCACCTTCCCCCCAAAAATGGCACCTCGACAGCCCCGAGCACACACGAATACACACTGAAAGCGCCCAACGTACGGACATCTCTATCCCAAGCAAGCAAGTCAACACCCTCCTTTCCTCTCGGCCATATGCCCCAGGGAGTCTTGACAAGGTCCGGGCATCAGTCCGTCGTCTGCACCTGTCGCCGCAACCTTGGCGGTGGGGGGTTGAGGGCGGGGCGGCTTTCTGGCGCCGCAGGATGCGCATCCTCGGGACAGCGCTCGCCGCAAGCGCTGTCACCAAGTCTTCCGCTGTAGGTGATGTTATTGTGGTCCTTGGTGCGGCGGCTGGGAGGCAGGACTTTTGCGGGCGTGGGGGTGCTTCTGGGCGGGGGCTTGGGCGTGGCCTTGGGCGTGGCTTTTGGCGGCTGCCGTCGGCCCGCTGCATACAGAGCACACATAGCCAATCAACGCATACATACAGCAACGAATAAGCACACGCATCGTCAGTGAGTGTCACTCTCCTCACCTCCCTCCTCCTCGTCGACCCCTTCATCGAGCCACGGCCCGCTGCTCCTCATCAGGTCTGTATCGAACAGGTAGGAACAAACAAGACGGCTTTATGCGGCCATCATCCAAGTCTGTGTCTCTTTTCGTGTGTGCAGACAGATGTCCGTATCTCTCACCGCGCTTCACCCACTCCTCCGTCTCCTCGGGCATATCATCGAGCCATGAGCCGCTGCCCTTCTCGATGTCTGCAAGGATGAACAAAGACGGAATAATCCACTTATGTAAGGTTTTCGCATCTCTCTCCCTCCCTGCCTCCTTTCCCTTCTCTGACCGCGCATTGCCCACTCTGGCAGTGGGTCGCCCTTGTCGTTCACCTCCATCCCCAAGGTCTCCCCCCTTGAGACCTCGGGGATGTCGTCGATGCCGTATTGGCCGCAGCCCTCTTCGATGTCTGTAGGAATGAACAAAGACAGAACCATGCATCCAAGTCTATTTCATCTTTCCCTCTCTCTCTCTCTCTCTGCCTCCATTCCCTTCCTCGCGGTGGTATGTCTTGTAGGTGATATCGTCGTCCTCCTTCGAGCGGCGGTGCGGGCGCAGAACTCGTGCCGGCGTGGGGGTGGCCTTGGGCGGGTGCTGTGAGGCTGCAGGCAAAGAAGACACCACATCATTGGCCACATGATTGGATGCATTGTTCCCTGCCCTACTCAGCCCATCACTGTCTATCTGTCATGCCATCACCTTTGGCGTCGTCGAAGATCCCCTCGTCGATCCACAGCTCGAGGCTGTGCGTGGTGAGTGCTGCGATGAACAGGCAGGAACAAGGAAAACAACTTCGTGCGTCCTTCAAGTCTCTGTCTCTCTCCGTGTCTCTCCGTGTCTACTGATAAGTGGTCGCTTTTCTCACCGCGCTTCGTCCACTCGTCCGTCTTCTCAGGACGGTCCTCGATCGACAGGCGGCAGCAGCTCTCGATCTCTGTAGCGATGAAAAGACAGGAACGGAATCATCCAACTTGATCTATCTCATCTCTCTGTCTCTCCCTCTTTCCGTTCCCTGACCTCGTTCGCCCAGCTCTGACAGCAGAGCGTCCATGTCACGCAGGTCCACCCCCGAGGGCTGTCCCCTTGGCTCTGCATGCAGCACAGCACACAGAGCCAATCGACACATACATACAGCGATGAAATACCACTTGCACCGTCAGTGAATGTCACTCTCCTTACCTTCCTCCTTCTCGTCGACCCCCTCATCGATCCACGGCCCGATGCACCTCAGCATGTCTGTATCGAACAGGTAGAAACAAAGAAGCCGGCTTGGTGCGCCCGTCCGTCATCCAAGTCTGTGTCTCTCTTCGTGTGAGCAGATATATGTCCATCTCTCTCACCCCGCTTCACCCACTCCTCCGTCTCCTCGGGCATGTCGTCGATGCCGGATTGGCCGCAGCCCTTCTCGATGTCTGTAGGAATGAACAGAGACGGAATCATTCATTTCTGCAAAAGGCCCGCACGCCTGTAGAGGAGAGAGAAACGAGAAAGAGAAACGGGAGACGGACCAGAGCTAGAGCTGTCGGTCGATGGCTGGCTCCTCTTTCTCTGTCTCCTTTCCTTTCCCCTCTTCCCACCTGCAGCCCTGCAGCCCTTGAAGCCAGACGCTGTATATCGTCCATTCAGCATGGGCAGTCAGTCGGTTGGTCCGTCTGTCTGTCTGTCTGTCTGTCGACCATCGACACAGGCTGCATGGCTATGTGTCAAAAGTGTACAACAAATATAAAATGTAGGCAGCAATAATGCCACACACGCCCTCGTCTCTTGTCCTCCTTCGAGTCGCGGTGGGGCGGTAGGATTCTTGCTGGCTGTGGGGAGTTGAGGCCGGGGCGGCTTTCCTGCGCCGCATGGCCTACAGCCTGCCTGCTGACCCCCTCCCTCCCTCCTTCCCTCCCCTTGCTCCCATCCCCCGCGCCCATCACCATGGGGTCTTGAGCAGGTCGGGGCATCGATCGGTCGTGTGGACTCGTCGGTCCAACTTGGCGTTGTCGTCCTTGGTGGAGCGGTGGGGGGGGACGACTGTGGCGGGCGTGGGGGTGCTCTTGGGTGGGGGTTTGGCTGGCTCTGCAGACAGAGCACAGCACACACAGCCAATCGGCACATAAAAATGCACACGCATCGTCAGTGAGTGTCACTCTCTTTACCTTTCTCCTCGTCGTCGAGCCCATCATCCAGCCACGTCCCGATGCTGCTGATGATGGCTGTATCGAACAGGTAGAAACAAATAAGACAGATTTGTGCGCCCATCATCCAAGTCTGTGTCTCTCTTTGTGTGTGCAGACAGATGTCCGGCTCTCTCACCTCTCTTGACCCACTCCACTCACCCACCATGGGGTCTTCAGCAGGCCGGGGCATCGGTCCGGGGTGTGGACTCGTTGGGACATGTCGATGGTAAGGAGCGGACGCCGGGGGGGCTTCCTGGCCCCGCAAGAGGCACACCCCCCCGAAAGCGCGCGCCGCAGTCGATATATATTCCACCACGTCTTCCGCTCCCCCGGGTATGTCTTGTACATGACGGTGTCGTCCTCCTTGGTGCGGCGGATGGGGGGCAGCACTCTTGCGGGCGTGGGAGTGCTCTTGGGTGGCGGCTTGGGCGGCTCTGCATACAGCACAGCACACAGAGCCAATCAGCACATACATACAGTGATGAATTTCCACACGCACCGCCAATGAGTATCACTCTCCTCACCTCCCTCCTCCTTGTCGACCCCTTCATCGAGCCACGGCCCGATGCTCCTCATCAGGTCTGTATCGAACAGGTAGAAACAAACAAGACGGCTTCATGCTTCCATCATCCAAGTCTGTGTCTCTTTTCGTGTGTGCAGACAGATGTCCGTATCTCTCACCGCGCTTCACCCACTCCTCCGTCTCCTCGGGCATATCATCGAGCCATGAGCCGCTGCCCTTCTCGATGTCTGCAAGGATGAACAAAGACGGAATAATCCACTTATGTAAGGTTTTCGCATCTCTCTCCCTCCCTGCCTCCTTTCCCTTCTCTGACCGCGCATTGCCCACTCTGGCAGTGGGTCGCCCTTGTCGTCCACCTCCATCCCCAAGGTCTCCCCCCTTGAGAGCTCGGGGATGTCGTCGAGGCTGCCCGTCTGCTGCAGGTGCAGCAGGCTGGACGAGCGGCCGCCGGGGGGAGCTGCCGTCGAGGCGACGGACGCGCGTCGGTCGGTGGTGGCCGTGGCTGGCTCTGCATGCAGCACATACAGCACAGCACACAGCCAGTCAACACATACATACAGCGATGAATAAGCACATGCACCCAGTGAGTGTCACTCTCCTTACCTCCCTCGTCGATCCCCTCATCGATCCACGGCCCGCTGCTCCTCATCAGGTCTGTATCGAACAGGTAGAAACAAAGAAGACGGCTTTGTGCGTGCGTCAATCATCCAAGTCTGTGTCTTTCCTCGTGTGTACAGACAGACAGATACCCGTCTCTCTCACCTCTTTTGACCCACTCGGCCGTCTCCTCGGCAAGTCGTCGATGCCGAATGAGCTCCCGAGGTCTGATAAAGACGAAACCATCAAGTCTATTCATCTCTCCCTTTCTGCCCCCTTTCCTTTCCTGACCGCGTTTGGCCCACTCAGGCAGTGGACCGCCCCTGTCGTGGGCGTCCACGTCCACCCCCGAGGTCGAGGCGTGACAAGCCCTCCCTTCATCCAATCCCACCCGCCCATCACCATGGGGTCTTGGCAAGACCCGGGCAGCGGTCCGTGGTGCGGACCTGTTGGGGCACCGTTGCGGTGGGGAGCCGAGGTCGGGGCGGCTTTCTGGCGCCGCACGAGACACACCCCACCCGCAACGCCCGCCGGAGCCGCTGCCACCAAGTCATCCTCTTCCCCGGGTACGTCTTGTACACGATGGTGTCGTCCTCCTTGGTGAAGCGGTTGGGCAGAAGGATTCTTGCGGGCGTGGCGGTGCTCTTTGGCGGGGGCTTGGCCGGCTCTGCATACAGCACAGCACACAAGAGCCGATCAACACAGAAATACAGCCATGAATAAGCACACGCATCGTCAATGAGTATCACTCTCCTTACCTGCCTCCTCGTCGACCCCTTCATCGAGCCAGGGCCCGATGCTCCTCATGATGGCTGTATCGAACAGGTCGAAAGAAAAAAGACGGCTTTGCGTGCGCCAATCATCCAAGTCTAGTCTGTGTCTTTCTTCCGTGCGTAGTGATAAGTGTCCGTGTTTCTCACCGCGCTTCACCCACTCGGCCGTTTCCTTGGCATGCCATCGATGCACAAATGGCAGCCGCTCTCGATGTCTGCAACAATGAAGAAAGACGGAATGATCCATGAAAGGCCATTTCTCTCGCTCTTTGCTTTCCCTTCCCTGACCTCGCTTTGCCCACTCAGGCAGTGGACCGCAGTTGTCCTGGGCGTCCACCTCCGAGGCCTCCTCCGATGAGACCTCGGGGATGTCGTCCAGGCTCTTCGTCCGCTGCAGCTGCAGCAGACTCGACGAGCTGCCGCCTGGGGGAGCTGCCGTCGACGCGACGGACGCGCGACGGTGGCGACGTCCTGCTCATGTGCTTTCTTGAACCCGAATGATAGAGCGCCACCATATTCTTGGGTAGACCTTGCAGATAATTTTTTCCATTTCGCGTGTCCCGTCTCGGGTCGAGAATCGACCCTGGGGGCGTCTCGGCTCTCAAAGCTCTGAGTAGCGTTTTCCTTTCTCGCTTCAGCACAAGAGACGCGATGAAGCCCACAACCCACCTGTTCGCACCAGGCGGGATTGCAGGCAGTCGGGCAATGCCATGTCGGAGCGAATTTTCAGTAGTCTGACTCGCCTGTCAAGCTGGACCGTCCGGCGACAGAGAAGACGTTGGTATGCCTCTGGCCTTCCCCTTTGGTATCACTTTTATTCAAGCGAAGGAGGGTCCAATGTGCTGGCGAACCGCAGCTGGACCGCAGCGGAGTCTCTCAAGTCGTCGAAGCTGCAGCGGATGGCCATCGACTCCTGTCTCTTCAATCAGTTCCTCACGCCGGCCAAACTGGACTTCCTTTTCACAAAAGTCACCGGCAAACAGCCAAAGGTAATGCATTTAGGCAAGGGAGTGTGCCGTGCTGCCGGTAGGTGGTGCTTTTGTTGCTGTGTGGGGTGGTGCAGATGAGCCTTCGTCGCTTTCTGGACGTTATGGTTCTGGCGGCCAATGTCAAGTACGGGACCGCCCTCCAGCCCCCGCGGCTCTGGTCAGTAAGTGTGTCTCCTGCTGCTATTGTTGTGGATCCCTGCAATTGCAGCGGGGTGTTGTCTGTCTGTCTGTCTGTCTGTCTGTGTCTCCCCCCTCCCTCACTGAATGTGCTGCAGATCCCCTGAACCGCACTCACCTCTCATCCGCCAAGTTTGCCCGCTTCCTCCGTGAGACGGGCATTGTGGCCTCACGCCTCTCTCTCCAGAATTGACCAACGACACCGCCAACCAAGACAGCAGCAACATCCGCCCGGCCCCTTCGCGTGCTGCCCGCCCCGGCCCTCACCCAGGTGCAGGCCGACCTGCTGTTCGTGCGACACACCAATGCCGCCACCACACTGCCCAAGACGGCGCTGAGTGCCGTGCCGTCGCAGGGTGACAAGGGCGAGGATGAGAGGAGGGCCGGGGTGGGGGCTGGGGTGGTGCGCAGCACAAGGCATCACATGGAGCTGCACCAGTGGCTAAAGGTCGATGAGAAAAGGACACATACAATACACTCGCCCAAACCAGAAACGTCCATGTCTCGCTTTTGTGTGTGTTTCCAGGCGTTGAAGGAGTTGCCTCGCGAGGTTCATGCGGCGATGGAGAGCGGGAACCCCTCGCCCATGGTCCTCCTCACCACTCACATCCTCAAACCCCTATACGACGCAACCGTTGCCAAGGACCACACCACAGGGACCGCGAAGGTCAAGGCCATCAACACCGACCCCCTGGTCAAGGAGCTGCTCGCATCAATCCGCCCCCGCGTGAAGCAGCTCTTCACCCACAACGCACGCGGCGGCCACTCCTTGCCCCTGTCGGGTTTCCAGCAGCTGTGTGCCGACTTCGACGTGTCGGAACTGCTGGCACCGGTGACGATCCAGCGCACATACTGGAGCCCTGTCTCGGCCGGCAACGAGGAGGACAGGAAGATCGAGGCCAATGAGTTGAGCTTCACGGCCTTCCAGCTTGCCGTGGTCACGCTGGCCAGCAAAGCCCCTGGGCCGGAGTTCACCGATAGCGAGAAGAGCCAGTGTGTGAGTGCGGCGCACGAGCACTTCAAGATTGCCCCTCATCTCGCCCCCGCTGCATACGCCTCCGAGACATGTATATCCCTGCAGCTTTTCTTGCCGCGCGCTTCCTGCCTCCCCCTCTGCCGACAGCCGCACCCGAAACCACATAGACAGTGCTGCGGGAAGGTCGCGCACGCCACAACACAAGTCACAACACAACAGGTTGTGACCATGTCTCCCCTTCTGTGTCACTGTCTTGCTGTCTGTTCGGCAGTGATCGAGGGCAAGCCCGGCCAGACGAACGGCACGAGGGAGACATCGAGGACGGACAGGCTCTTGTGTCCACTAATCATCTATCTGCTGCGGCGTCTGTGTCGGTCCGTCATCCATCAGCTGGTGCTCACAAAGGTCGACCTGCTGAAGGTGAGTAGTGACAACAGCACCAACACAGCGGACAGAGACAGACAAGGGGATATTCTCCCTCTGTGTGTGTGTGTTGTGTGTTGGTTTGGGTGCGTGCAGCCGATGGATCTGCACAGCCTGATGATGCGCGTGGTGGTGGCGCTTCAGCAGCTGCCGCTCGAGTTGGTCTGGCCGTTTGTCCACGCCGTCTCAGCCAGGGAGCACCTCGGTGTGGCCGACCTGCGCTGCTCACTCAGCGCCATCGCCTCCGACCACCGACGAGCGGCCGGTCGGCAGCTCGTCAAGAAGGGAGAGGGGTAGCGGGCTGGGTGGACTCATTGGTGACACATTTGGATTGACGTGTGTGCCTTGTGTGTTGAGACAGACGATGTGATAGTGATGGTGACGGACATAGGTAGGCCTTCATTCATTCAACGACACAAGACACATGGATGAAGTCTGAGACGCTATGTATTTCCACGGCACACGTCACATGGACAGTAACCCGCCCTGTCCCTCCCCTCCATCCCTCCCTCCATCCCTCCCGCCATCCCTCCCTCCATCCCTCCCTCCATCCCTCCCTCCATCCCCCCCTTCATCCCTTCATTCCTTCCCTCCCTCCCTCCATCCATCCATCCCGTCATCCCTCCCTCCCCCCCTAAATCCCACCCCCCGCCCATCACCAGGGAGTCTTGATGAGGTGGGGGCATCGGTCCGTTGTGTGGACCTGTGGGCGGACCGTTGCGGTGGGGAGGCGAGAGCGGGGCGGCTTTCTTGCGCCGCACGACGCACAGCCCACCCGCAACGCCCGCCGAAGCCGCTGCCACCAGGTCTTGACCTCCCGGGGATAGGTCGTGTAGGTGATGCCTTCGTCTTCCTTGGTGCGTCGGAGGGGGGGCAGCACTCTGGCTGGCGTGGGGGTGCTTCTGGGCGGGGGCTTGGCCGGCTCTACATGCAGCACATACAGCATACACACAGCCAGTCAACACATACACACAGCGATGAATAAGCACACGCACCCAGTGAGTGTCGCTCTCCTTACCTGCCTCCTCATCAAGCCCTTGGTCGAGCCAGGGCCCGATGCTGCGCACGAGGTCTGTATCGAACAGGTAGAAACAAAGAAGCCGGCTTTGTGCGTGCGTCAATCATCCAAGTCTGTGTCTCTCGTCGTGTGTGCAGACAGATACCCGTCTCTCTCACCGCGCATATCATATATATATATATATCACTCGGCCGTCTCCTCGGGCATGTCATCGATGCCGAATGAGCTCCCGAGGTCTGATAAAGACGGAATCACCCATCCATGTCTATTTCATCTCTCTCTTTGCCTTCTCTGCCTCCTTTCCCTTTCCTGACCTCGCTTGGCCCACTCAGGCAGTGGGTCGCCCCTGTCGTGGGCGTCCACGTCCACCCCCGAGGTCTCCCCCCATAAGACCTCGGGGATGTCGGCCAGGCTCCTCGTCCGCTGCAGCAGCAGGCTCGACGAGCTGCCGCCTGGGGGAGCTGCCGTCGAGGCGACGGACGCTCGCCGGTCGCTGGCTCCCGTGGCCGCCTTCCCCCCCTCCCCTCCCTCTCCCCAGCAGCAGTCGCGGTGGGCAGCAGCGCCCGAGCTTCCTTGCTCTCGGCCATCATCTGACGAAACACACACATGGAGGAGATGACTGGATGGATGGAGGGATACACTGTCGTGGCGTCGGAGTGCGGATGAACCGGTGACTCACCTCTTTCGCAGTCTCCTCGCCCCCACACACCCCCACGAGCTCGCAGCAAGCGAGTTAAGATGATGGCTGCCAGTGATCACGTTTGCTTTTTCATTTCAGCCGTCCTGTCCGACTCGATGCTGTCTTTCACCTCCCTGACAGACCGGTACACATCCCTATAGGTCAGCACGAACCAGCTGGAGCACGAACACAACACCGCTCACACATGCAGCCATCATCGCCTCACGCAAGGCCACTCCCCACAGCCCCATGGCGGTGCCAGATGCGCCGCCTTCCGCGTCACTGCTGAGGAGCAGTGCCGCCCGCATTCCCCCCTCCATCCCCCACGCAATGGCCGCCTCACACACGAGCCTGGCCAGCACTACAATGCCCCACATTTTGACTGTCTTGGGCAATACGGGACCCCTGACAGCGCCACCCATCCCTCGCCACGCCGACAGCACGCCCCTATGGCGCATCATGGCCACATAGAAGAGAACCAGCAAGATGCGCATGGCCATGTTGGCCCAGCTGGCGTAAACGAGCCCCAGGCCGCCCGCACCGACGTCCTTGAGCAGCACGGCCAATAGAACAAACGACAGGCTGATGGCGACATTGGCCCACTGACATCGCTGCAGCCAACGAGGTGTCGCACAGGCGTACATGAAGGCCTCCAGGATGCCATTCAGCGCCATAAGGAACAAGAGCACACAGTAGCTGCAGCAAGCAAGGACACATATCACCAAGCAGAAGGCGACACATGCATCAGAGTGAGTGGGGCACTTCTGTGTGACTGACTGACAGACTGACTGACCTTTGCATGAATCTCGGTGCGGCGGAGCTGGGGTGAGGCGCATGGGAAATGTACTTGGTGAGAATGCTTTCTGAAGTGGCCTGCGTGTGAGTATTGATTGATCATGATTGATTGGTGCGGCGTGTGTGTATGTGTGTGTGCCTGTGTGCTCGCTCTTTGATATATTCATTATATGCCAGCTGCTGGCCGGCGATATAAACAGATCAGATCTGGCCATCCATTGGTTGATTAGTTTCTGTAGCTAGCCAGATGTCCGACCATGAGTCAGTCCATCAGTTGGTTCATTGATCGAGGCATCCATCGTATGTACGAATGAATCCTTAAGTCTTTCCGTCAATCAAAGTTCTCCATTGCCTTACCTACCTTCCTTCTCTCTCTCTTCCGCTCTCTCTCATTAATTGGCTGCCGTCCGTCTCCCCTCTGACCGAATTACGCCCACCCATGACAGACACGACAGACACCTCAACTCGGCCAGACAGACAGACAGACAGACAGACAGACAGGCAGGCAGGCAGGGACACGCACACAGGGGCGGGCGAGAAGGCAGTCGGTCCATCGCAGGCAAGGAAGATGAATGCGCGTGTGAAGGTATGTATCTAATCCTGTGTGGAATATACAGTCCCATAGGTGGGGGTCAGGTCATCTCGCAGTCAACAACTCGTCGCTCGCACCCATCCATCCATCCATCCATCCAATTTGCCCCACACATGCATTCCAGCCGCTGGTTGCATGAATTCGTGAGGCAGTAAGTAGGTGTCACACACAGGCGGGGCAGGCGCATTTCTCTTGTCAGCCCGCCTGAAATCAGCCAACGCTCTAACTTAACTTGGTGCATGGTGGGAGTGACATCCAGCCTTTGATTCTCGTCTCGCTCGCCCTCCCAAATCAACCAACGTACAGCCACCCCAGCCAGCCAGCCAGCCAGAGCCATGCAGATAAGTATGGACATTCGGTGTGATGTGATGTGATGTTGCCCCTTTCCCTCCCCGTCTTTCTATCTTTCTATGTACGGTGTATGTGTGCGTACGTGTGTGAGTGCGTCAGAACCTGCGGCGTCTCATGTCCTGAGCCGACAGGTTGCCGCCCACCGCTGCGCCGGCCGTGTTGTCCTGCTGCATGGGGCAGGTGTTGCTCCACTGGTCGAACCCGCCGCCGCCCATCATGGCCCAGCTGTTGTCGGCATGGCCGCCGTAGTACTCGTTGCCCCATGAGGCCATGTCGACCATGGGTGCGTGTGCCTGGCCCTGGAAGCAGCCGTACCCGTTGCCCATGCCCATGTCGTACCCACCACCGCCGCCCATACCGCCGCCCATTCCACCACCGCCGTACCCCCCACCTCCTCCATCAGCAATCCCGAACCCGCCGAACCGTCCCGGCTGCGGCCTGGGCCCTCCCCCATTGCTGATGTGCTGGAACGGCCCGCCGCCCCTGCCTCGCATCACGATAGCCGGACTCGGCCCGCCCATCATCTGCTGGGGGTCCATCATCTGCTGATGGAGACCACGGCCGCGACCACCGCCCCACAGGCTGCCGAAACCGGTGTTGCCCGGGTGCTGGGGGCCACCGTAGCTGTCGAATCCCATGGCGGCCTGGTCGTGCATGCCGGTGGAGTCGAACATGTTGGTGGGGCCCTGTGGGCGGAGCCTGCTGCCGAAGCCGGGCATGGTGTTGTGCTGCCATGGATTGCCGGCTCCGCCCCCCCTGCCATTGGTGTGCCGGTCGGGGCTGCCCGAGTGGTGGCGGCGGCGGCTGTCCATGTCGGGGGACGGAAATGCCGCACTCTGGGCCGCAGCGTACGTCAGCTTGTCCACCAGCATCTGGCCACCGAACTCTGCACAGCACACAACACACAAAAGGAAGGAAGGATGTATGTTATGTGGACACATTCATACAGCAATGTAGGTCTCTCTTTCTCTCCCTCCGTCCCTGACCTTCTTGCTGATCGTGTGGCAGCTCCATGATGGCCTTGATACAGGCCTCCAGCACGGAGGCCTCGAGCCTCAGCCCGTCGTTGATGGCCGACTCGGCGAATTCGATGGCCTTCATCATGTACTTGTGGCTGTCGTTGGGGTTGGTCGCGTAACTATCCTTGGGGTTGGCCACACCGCCACCCCCAGGTGACGACGGGGAATCGCCGTCGGGCGTGTTGTGTCGGAGGAAGGATGGCTGGGCCGAGCCGCCCTTGAGACACCCCACTATGATGGTGCCGAAGGTGCGGGCGTTGGGACGCAGACCCTTGCGCAACATCTGCACAGATGTTTCAGCAGAGATGTGTGTGGGTCTGGTCTGGTGTGGGCGGGCGGGTGTGTGTGTGTGGAGGGATGGGTGGTGTGTCTGACCGTTTCGAACACTTCGATAGCGAGTGGCAGTCGTTGGTTGGCGATACATGCAGCCATGAGTGCGGTGTAGACGTACGCGTCGAGCTCGAAGCTGAAGCGGCGGGGCAACTCTGTCACCAGGCTCAGGGCCTTGTCCAACTGCTTGGCGCGACCGTACAGCTTCACCTATCACACATACACACATACAGACGCACAAGGCAGTCATTATATGTGTGGGGGCCACTGGGTGTGAGGACCAATGCATTAACTGCACGCACTGACGCACCAACCATACATACCAGTATGGTGAGTGTGAATGAGGTGGGGGCCACTCCCGACTGGATCATGTCTTCCAGCAGCTGCTCCGTCATCTGCAGATTGTACCGACGGGCACACCCTGGTCGACAACACACACACACACACACACACACACATATAGCCTTTCCGTCTCTCTCTCTCTCCCCCTCTCTCTCTCTGTGTGTGTGTGTGTGTGCGTGCGTGTGTGTCTGTCCATGTGCACCTTCCAGCAGTGTGTTGTATACGATGGTGTCCGGCTGTATGCCGCGGCCCCGCATGGACTCGAAGAGCTCGAGGCCCGCCTCCAGGTTGCCCTGCGCGCAGAAGCCCTTGATCATGGTGGAGTAGGTGATGAGGTCGGGGGGGTGCTCCCGTGAGGCGTTCATGTCCTCCAGGATGTCCACCGCTTGCCGCATGTCAGACACAGACGTGCACGCGTGGATCAACGTGTTGTACGTCACCTAAAGACATGTCACACACACCCGTCGTGTCACGACCACACAGAGAGAGGCATGTTATGCGTGTCGTGTGTGCGGGTCGGGTGTGCGGGTGTTGTGGTCTGTCTGTGTGGATGGGATGGGATGGGTGGTTGGTCACGTCCCCCACCTCACCTCGTTGCAGGGGACGCCTTTCTCCTGCATGTCTCTATACAGCTGCAGTGCCTTGTCGATCTGCTTGTTCTGTGCGAAGCCCTTGATCAGAATCGAGTACTGCACCGTGTTGGGCGTCACGCCACTGCCCACCAACCTGATCGACAAAATAATGAATGCATCACATCACGTGTGCCTTGTTTGCCTCGGTGCGAGGGAGGGATATCTGTGTGGGCCGGGCTGGTATGGTGTGGTGTATCGGTTGGTTACTTTTGGAAGAGGTCCATGGCTTGTTCGACGCACTGGTTGGACACGAGCGTGTCGAACATGCAGCCGAAGGTGTAGTTGTTGGGCTCCAACTTACGCTCCGTCGTCATCTCACGCCACAACGCCCACGCCTACACACACACACACATGGACGGACACATGTCTCTGTCTGCGCGTCCGTCCGTCCGTCCGTCCGTCGTCTCACCTCGTCGAGTCGCTTGCATCGTCCGTACGCCTTGATGAGTGTGCCGTAGGCGTGCACGTTGGGCCGCAGCCCCGACTGCTTGAACTGGTCCAGGGCGATCGTCAGCCGACGGGTGTCCTTCAGACGCGCACAGGCGTCAACTATCGTGCTGAACAGCACTGTGTCCTGACACACGTCAATCTGACACACACACACACACACACACACAGACACAGGGGAGAGAGAGAGAGAGAGGCCACGTGTGTTGTGTTGTGTTGTTGTGTGTTGGTTTGTGTACATGGGTTACATTGTCCATGAGTTGGAGTGTCCGTCCGACATCGTCGCGCGATGAGGTGGGTCGGAGGTTCTTGATCATGATGGAACACGTGTACCGGTCAACCTGATGCGATCGATGCAGACAGACAGACAGACACGAGAGACGAGAGGGAGAGAGAGACACGGGCGTGGCGTCGACTTAGCATGATGCTTGTCTGTCTGATGCTTATCTTACTTGTATGTTGTTGTGTTTCATGTAGTCGATCCAGGCCCATGCCTTGTCCACATTGCCGCTCGACACCGCCGCATTGATGATCGAATTGTACGACACCTGCAACACAACCATCATTAGACAAATGGACGATGGACGCAACCAATATATTCCTTGCCACTCCCGCCCTCCTCCGCCTCCCTCCCTGCGGTGCTCCCAGCTGACCTACCTCATCGGGTGTGTATCCGTCGCCCTGCATGGCCTCGAGCATTCGCTCTGCGGCCTCCAGCTGGCACATGCCGGCGTACCCCTTGAGCATGGTGTTGTAGCTCACAATGTCCACCTTGCCCCCCCGCTTCATCCGGTCGAACAGCTTCTCGGCCTGGTCCCGGTCCTTGTGCGTCAGACAGACGTCGAGGACGCTGTTGTAGGCACCCGCGTCGGCCTCCACGTTGGGGTCCCGCTCGAGGGAGGCCAGCACGCCCAGGGCCTCGGACACGTTGCGCTCGCGGCCACACACGCGGATGAGGTTCATGTAGCTGCTGATGTCGGGCTGACACCTACAGGGAGGGGTGGGTAAACACACAGAGAGAGGAATAGTTGGTTGGTTGGAGGGATAGGGGGGCTTGGTTTGGTTTGGTGTGTGTGTGCGGCTGACTTTTTGAACAGGGCTTTGGTGAACTCTATGCGGCCGCACTCGATGGCAAACTTGGTCAGGCTCTGCAGCATCTCAGACGTGGGTTCCATGCCCTCCTTCATGACACACACACACACACACACACACACACACAACAGGAGAGCAATGAGGTCTGGTGAGTGTCTCGTCTTGTCAGTTGTGTGTGGTGTGATGCTGCTGACCTTTTTGATCTGGTCGTATGTGTCGCATGCTCTGTCGAAGAGGCCGGCCGCGGCATACACCTGCACCAGTACGGTGTAGATCTGCGGCGTCAGCTTGCCCTGGTTGTGACCCCTACGACACACACATCACATCAGAAGACAGACAGACAGACAGACAGGAAATGGTATGCGAGTGAGTTCCTGAGTGAGTGATTGAGTGGCTGAATGGATCGAATTCTTCCCCCCCAGGTGAGTGCACTCCACTCACCTGTAGTAGGATACGATCTTCTCAGCGAACTGCAGATACTGCGACTCCGCACACCGCCCCAACACCGCCGCACACGTGGCCTCGGAGATGCGGAAACTGATTGATGAGGGAGGGAGACAACATGAATGAATGCATCCATCAGGTCGGTCATATTCTGCAGATGGTGTCTGTCTGTCGCCCCTCCCTCTTTCTCCACTCACCCTTGCCTCTGCATCTCCTCGAACAGCTCGATGGCCTGCGGGTTGCCAGTCTGCGCATACGACTGCACAGCACGCCACACCATACACACTGAGTGAAGAGGTCTCCTCCCGCCCTGCCCCTTTTAAATGTGCTTAGTTCTGCCTCTTGCTTGCCTTGATGAGTGCGTCATATGCTGAGTACAGCAGCGGTATGCCGCCCTTGCGGGACGTCTGGTCCATACGGGACACTAGCGTCAGGTCGACGCCCTCCAGGCCTGGGATGGTCGGCAAAGGGGGAATGGGGGGCGGTGGCGGGGGCTGCGAGTGGGGCGTCTGACACAAGCAACACATAACAAACACCAATAGAATGGCAGGTGCGTGCGTCTAAGTGTCTGACCAGCTGGCTGACCTGTGGTGGGCTGAGGCCGTTCTGGTGTCCGTTCTGGTGCTCTTGATCTCCTGCTGATGGGGGTGGGGGCGGTGGAGGGGGCGGGGTGAGACTGCCGGCTTTGGTGGCCTGCTCGAGGAACGTGTTGATGGGCTCACAAGAGCAGAACTCCCCGGCTGCGATCTCGTTGATCAGCTGCTCCACACGCCTCTCCTCCCACACCAGACGCACAAACTGCGCCAGCAACGGAGACGGCACAAGATGCTGGCCCTGATGGATATCAGGACACAAACACACGCGGCACAGCCACACACAGTGTGCGGTCGATATCGGTTTCCCCCCCGTGTCTCCCACCCCACCCCGCCCCACCCACCCGATTCATGAGACTACAGTATCGCATGGCGTCGCCCAGGTTCTTGTCGAGGACGGCCCGGTTGAGCAGAGTGAGCAGATACCGCGGATGCACCCCACCCACTCCCCCACCCCCCGCCGTCTCCCCCTCCCCCTTGCCATCCACCCCCTGCACCTTCTGCAGAGCTACCGCCACCTTCTCGCCGCCAATGTTGGCCCTCGCGTAACCCGACAGCACCAGGGCATTCGACGCCCCGTTCGGTCGCACGCCCAGCGAGGCGAACCCCTCGGCCACCATCTCTATCAGGAAAATGTCGCCGTCCCGTGCGATGACCCCCAGCACTGCGTTGAGGTACTCGCAGTTCATGCACGCCGTGTGCCGCCGGATGTAGTCGAAAAGCAGGCCGTCGATGAGCTGGATGTCGGGGTGCTCCTGGGAGGGTCTGGGGGCGGGGTGGTCGGGATCGGCCTTCTTCTCCTCACCCCCTCCCTTCTCGTCGGTCTTGTTGTCCTTGGCCGTGCTGTCGCTGTCCCCCTCTTTCGCGCCGCCTGTGGTGGTGTCGTGTCGGTTGAGGGCCGGCAGCTTCCCAGACAAGCCGCCTGACGATGACAAGCACTTCAGGATGGCCTGTGCGAGGAGGGCGATCCGGGCGGAGTCGATGACACACGTCTGGGAGCCGCGCGTTGTGCCCCTCTGAAGCTGTGTGAGTGCGGAAGAGGTGAGATGGAACTTCTCCGTCTGCCGCAGGCGGTAGAATGCCTCGATGACTCCCTCCCACTTGCCCTCCTTGGCCTGGCTGTCGATGGCCTCCACACACTCGTCGAACGTGCCGCTCTGCCCCTCCAGGCCCGGGGTGGGTGACAGCTGCCGCTGGGGACGCTGCATGATGGTCGGGATCACAGGCTGAGACGGCGATGGTAAAGGGGTGCCGTTGGTGGCGTGGCTGTCGGCTACAGGGGCGTGTGTGTGTGTGGGGCTGTTGGCCTTGGCTGACTTGGTGCTGACATCCTTTGCGTTGGGGGTGATGGTGACGCTGGGTGTCTCCCCCCTCATGAGGTTGATGTTGAGCGTGAACTTGCCCGTCGGCCCCTCCCGCCGCTCGCCACGACCAGTCCTACCTGACGTGCTGCTCGAAGTCGCACCAGAGTGCTGGGATGGACCATGCACCGGCTGGTCGTGGGTGGAGAGCGCCGCTGCAAGGGGCGGGAACTCGGTGGTCGGCTGTGTCTCAGGCGCCCTCTCGCTCTGCTCGGTGGGTGCACCGGCAGCCGCGGCCCACGGAGCGGCTTTGCACCGGAGCCCAGCAGGTGCGGCCGCCTGGCTGCTCGTATTAGGGTTGGGTGTCATGCCTGGGGGTGCCGTGAGGCCGGGCGGGGGAGGTGGGGCCTGCCCCTTGGGCTTGACGGTGCTGACGTGGATGGGCTGGTGCATGGGCAGGTGGGGCAGCGTGTCATTTGCCGGTGCCTTGGGGGGCTCCTCCTCTTTCATGCCGCACACAGCAGCCTTGGCATTGTGGCCGTAGGCAAGCGGGGTCAAGTCGGGCGTGATCAACTGCTGCTGCTGCTGATGCTGCTGGTGATGCTGGTGGTAGGACCGCAGGATGGTGAGTGTCGGGCTGGGCTGCTCCTCCGTGGTGGCCTTAGAGAAGGTGGGGGAGGCTCCGTTGTCGTCGGCATCGCGTGTGTGGGAGACGCCGCTGGCACTCTTGGAGGATGGCGTCGACTCGAGTGAGGCACCGCCGTGGCCGTGTGTCTGCGTGATGGAGGGCAGCATGGGCGAGGTGGCCTTTTCAGCCGTGGCGGCGACCGTCTGCGACGATGCAGCCGCACTTTGGTTGAGGCTCGGCGAGGTGGACGGCAGTGAGGGGGTCCGGCCGCCCCTCTCCCTCTCCCTCTCCCTGTCCCTCTCCCCCCCTCCCTTGCGGTCCACCATGGTCTCCTCTGTCCCCCTGTTGTCTTTGCCCTGCTGCTGCTGCTGCTGGTGTTGTTGTGATGGCTTGACCGTGGGCTCAGCGGGCGATCCCCTAGCCGAGTTGGCGGGGGATGTGTGTTGCGATGGCGGCAAGTTGCGGTCCTTCTTCTTGTGCTGCTTCCGCTGAGACTGAGACGAACGGGTCGCCTGCGTGCTGCCGCTGCCGCTGTTGCTGCTCCCCCGGCCGTACTGAGAAGAAGCAGAAGCCACGGGCTGCGATGTCGTGACGGAGTGGTGGCTGGTGGGGGGGCCTGCGGCACTCCTCTGGCCCTGCTTGCTGTCCTTGGCCTTGCCGGTGGGTCTGGGGGTAGGTCCCTTGCGCCGCGGGCCCTTACGAGACTGGAAGATGATGAGGCCGCAGAGGAAGACGGCGAAGAGGACGAACTCGATCCAGTACATCTCGATGGACTCCTTGGCGATGGCCTTGAGCAGTGGAACCCAGCTGCTGCTGCTGCTGCTGCCGGACGTGTCAGAGGTGTTGTGCATCGGGGGGATGGAGGGGGCTGGGGCGGGGGCGGGGGTGGGGTCCTGGGGCGGCGCAGGTGCGTCGGCGGTGTCGTATGTCGAGTAGGCCATGTCTATGAGGCCCATGGCTATTGACTTATGGGGGTGACTCAAGCAAAGCGATGCTGCGGGCAGGCCGAAGAGGGGCACCGCAGTAGGCACAATGCGGAAGCAAGACACACGGATGCACGGATGCACCTGAGACACACAGGGCAACGACAGACACCAACAGACAGACAAACCAACCTCAGCTCAGCAGCATCCTCTCTGCTGTGCCTCCCTGTGGTGCGACCCGTCCTTTGCCTACTCGGGATCAATACGACACCAAGAGCTTGATGTCGTGTCGCGCCCGAGGGAAGGGGAAGAGAAAATTGACAGCTGGCGTGGGGCCGCTCGCTGCCCGCTAAGTAAGCAAGTACTAGATAGAAGAAGGGCAGAGGTCCCTCCTGGCGCCTTCCTCCGTGGTTGGTCCGATCTCGGGTGGGTAAGTGGCTCTCAGGCGGCACGGATAAGGGATGATGCTAGAGGATTGTTACGGACAGTGTCGCACATCCTGCAGGCAGGACACACCGACAGACAATGAGTAGGCTTTGCAATGGCCACCACGGCAGAGAATGGCCTCTTTGCTGTCTGTTCAAGGCCAGTGGTGCTGGGATTGCGTCCCTCCCCCCTCCCTGCCCACCTAGAGAGCACTTCGCATCGGTCCTCCGCAGTGTCCCGTTTCCGTCCAGGAATCGGCTGATGTGAGGACGCACGCGTCCCCTCGTCAGTGCAAATGGGCGCGTCAAGGGCAGCTGGGCGTCGGCCTTGATCAAATCAGATCCGTCAGGCGGTCGCTGCCGTGAGTGCCGGTACCCGGAAGCCCACACCGAGAGATGGGATAGCTATGAGAGCGAAGACGGGCACATGTCGCATATTAAATGGAAACAAACGCACACTGTGAGCTCACACGCCTGCACCGCCACTTCCATCACAAAACCGCCTTTTCGAGTCGATCACTTCACAATAAGCTCGCAATTTTCCAGGCGACGTCCCGTCGTAGCCACCGCCTTCTTCTACTGCCATTAGCCCCGTGTCAGGACGATTGGGAAGTCACTAGCAGTCGTCTGAGATCAGCTTGCGAGAGGTCGCATGTGGGCCCTCTGAAGCCTTCGCTCTGGAGGCCTTAGAAGCTCATACTCATACAGGTAAGGAACGGCGGGTGGATGCCACAGTCAGCGGCAAGGCCACGAGGTCGCGCGTCGCACCTCACCTCGCGAGTCAGAGCAGCATGATGCGACGAGAATGCATCAGATAGGCAGTGCAGTGCAGCAGCAAGGCATGTTCAGACAGAGTACATGACGAATACGCGGAGCCAGTTTGCAGTGCAAGTCGCATTCCATGCACTGCCTCATCATCTTCTTGCTGTGTTGGGTGTCCGTGTGTATAAAATATTCTGCAGGTGTCGGACCATTGGGCACCATGGTGGACCTCAGTCCGACGGCCTTCCAGGAGCTGGCTCAAGAGGAGACGCCCAAGGCGGCCCAGCCAGCCGGCGCCGACGCCGCACCCACTGAAGTGACCGTGGAGAGGCGGCCGCTGACGAGCAGTCCCCGGGACTTCAAGAAGTTCTGCGGGCTGGAAAACCTGCAGCACGTGGAGCTGGATATGGTGGATGTGGACGTGGCCGTCGAAGTCGACGCACCCAAACCCATCGGGTCAGTCGAGTCAGTCAGCTGAACAAACTGCCACTGAGGGGGGAGAGAGGGAGGGATGCATCTCTGTTGTCCGTTTTGTGTGTTGACAGGATGTGTGGATGGGACCCGAGGTACCCATGTCCCGCTTGTGGGTTTCTGTTTCTCATGCTCCTCCTGTGGATCTGCGCATCCATCCTCGCCATACCCAGACTCAGACACGTACGCACACCCATCTACACCTAAGAGGCAACAACGGCTTGACATGTTTGTCTGTGTGTGTGGATGGGATGGAATGGGATGTCATGCCAGGCGCACCTGATGCCAGCCGAGATAGTGCATGACCCCGACTTCAAGCCATCCAACTTCGGCGGGTGTCTGTTCGGCCTCGCCACCCTGGTCCTCAGCGTCCTGCTCTTCCTCGGACTCATCGCTGCTGCCATTCTTCGAAACATCCGAATCAACAAGGTCTCCCAGCCAACCACACAGACCACAGCAGCCCTGCGTCTCTTGTCCATCCTCATGGTTCCTGCCTGCAGCTGATCACGGTTGTGGTGGACCATGCCCAGGATGAGGTGCAGGGGCAGGTCATCGACGCCCTGCACACGCGATTCCACGAGCTCAAGCAGGACCTGCGCGAGGCCTTCACCGTCCCACCCGAGCGCACCGCCTGGCTCAAGCGGGATGTGACGGCAATGCCCACCCTCGTCAAGAACCGGCTTGGGGCGTACGTGCTGGAGCGGCAGGTGGACAAGAAGACGCCCATCAAGCTGGTGCAGGACGTCAGGAGGGATGTCCAATGCCGCAGGTAGATACGTAAGTTGGGTGGTGCCGTGGGTGAGATGATCAATGGGCGTTGGTTGTGTTGTTTGTGTGGCATCGCATCATCCATACCGTCCATGGTATGGCAGGCGGCTGGCGGGGTGGTTGTTCTTTTGGCTGCCGGCGTGGGGCATCGTGCTCTTCAACCTAACCGTCTCTTTCATGGCAAGCAAGACATCCACTCACGCAACACAACACCAACACGACACCAACACACAGGAAGGCCATGAGGAGTGCCCGGTATGCTGCTCTGCTCCTGTGCTGTGCAGTACGGCTGCCCTCGCGCCACGCACAAGAGAATCCCCCTCTTGCAAGGTCCGCCCGCCCGCCCGTCCGCACCACACCTGTGCGTCCTGCCTGCCGATGCAATCATCTGTGTGTGTGTCCGGTCCGTCTGGCTGTTGCAGATCCTGCAACGGAGCGTTTCGGGTTGATTCTGGTGGTGGAGTTTGCCTACTGGCTGTACTTCACCTTCATCGTATCCATGGCATGCTTCAGATGCCTCGAGGGGTAAGGACGTCAAGGCGCTTCTTGTGTGTGTGGTGTGTGTCCCGATACGTTCACGGCGTTGGCAATGTGGTCGCTGGATTGCAGGTGCATTCTGAGCAAGATTGCCGGGTCCGCCCGACGGCGCATCAACGAGAAGGTGACGCGTCAGCCCACCGACACAGAAAGGGATTCCACGTCACGGCCATACATATCGTTGTGTGCCTTGTCTTATGTGTGTGTCATCAGATTGACGAGATATGGGTGGACGTGGTCAAGTCGGTGGAGGTGCACCTGGGCGAGAAGAAGACCGACGCATCCTCGCCGCAAAGCAGGGACATCGACGCCGACGAAGAGGAGGTCTGGTGCATGTGCTGCGCCCCAACCAAGAAGGAGAAACCGAAAAGTACTACGTTCCATGGAAATGCACCGTGTAAGTGATCTATGTTGTGTGCAGAGGAAAAGTCGGCTCGTGTCAAGGGTCCCGTCAAGATGGCTGGCGGCGATTGGGAGTACAGGCGCATCAAGATCGACAAGAACCAAGTCGTATACAAATGGGTGGGTGGGCCCGACGAGACGAACAATCACCCAATTCACAACACAACACATGCACCCTCTCCTACCCTCCCCTCTCCCATCCCTTCCCTGTGTGTGTGTGTGTGTGTGTGTGTGTGGTCAGGTGCCGGCCAATGCCACCTCCGAGATATCCCCGCTGCTGCAGCCATCCGACGCGTCCACGCGTTCCAAGTCACCTACCCACCACCAGCATGCGGTGGAGCTGGCCAGGCTGGACGTACCCGAGCCGGCCACGGGCGACAGCCCCGCGAGGCAACACCACTGACTAACACCGGCGGGAAAGGTGCTCGTGGTACGGTACACAGCCAGGTGATAGCGATGATGATGGTGGTGGTGGTGTGTAGAGGGGGCAGGCAGGCAGGCAGTTTTTCGTATGTACAGGGAGAGGGGGACGGGCGGTGTGTGTGAATGACGCTGGCTGGCTGGTTCATGTATGCGGCCCGGGGCGGGCTGGGAGCGAAAGGCTTACTTACATCGATGGCGTACTATCATCTTATCTTGCCTGACGCATTCAGGCGACCGCACGTACGCGACACATCATGCCACGCACGCCACAGTCAATCAGTCTGCACACGCATGAAGAAAGCACATCTGACCACACACACGCATCCGTCCGTCCGTCGATCCATCCATCGCACCTCACCTCACTGGCTGGCTGGCTATACAGATACCGCCCTCACGTACGCACGGATGCATGGATGGATGAACGCAGACTATGCATCGCATCGCATCCATACATGTCCTGTACAGACAGGGATGGCATCATGCCATGCATGGAACAGAACACGCAGTCCGTCGTCAATCCACCTTCCTGCACTCACTGCATCCATCCGTCCGTCCGTCCGTCCGCCTCTCTCGTCATTGATGCTCATGAATCCATATCCCATCCGGGCAGCCGTGGCGTCACGTCAGTAGAACTCTCCAACCTTGACTTTCTTCGGTTTCCCTGTCCTTGAGCTGATCACCTCGCCCTCTTTTGGCTTGCCGGCCTGCTCCGCCGCCTCTTTCTTCTCAGACGCTGCCAGCCGTGCAGCCAGCTTGCTGCCGATCTTGCTGTTGTCGATTTGCTTCGTCAGCTCCTTTTTCGTCTGCATCTGGCTGTCCTTCGCAATGTCATCTTTGGCCATTTGCAGGGTGCCAGTGAGCGATAGATCTGCCAGCTGGAAGGAGCCCGACTGTTGCAGAGCAGGAGGGAGCCTCTCGAGTGATGCTTGTCGTATAGGCATTGCAGCAGCCGTCCTGGTGAGGGCAGCGTCGGGGGGAAGCACCAGATAAGCAAGAGATCCACGGACAAAGACGATGCAGATGAGGAAGGGCAGCGCTGGGGACCTGAGCGGACCCATCTTCATGACAAACACAGGAGAGGGGTGCGGCTTTGGGCTTAGCTCGCAGATGCTTGAGCTCGCCGGCTCTTTCCCTTCCAAATGGAGATGCGCCGGAGATAGTGTTGCTTTGTTTGCTGAGATCGCCGCTCCGTCAGCCTTGTGGTGTTTTCGACTGCATCTGATCTGCGCCGCTAGGGTTCCATGTGAAGGATGAGACCGGACTGAAACACAGCAGCTGACGCCGTTGTCCAGCCCCTGCTGCATTGTCGGCTCAGAGCCGCCAGCATTGATTATCGTGCTACTGCTGATCGGAAGCAAGCCGCGGCCATTGTCACTGGTCGAGTCGCATGTGCTGTCTGCCGGACGGCTGATGCAGCGTCGAGTGTATTGCTGAAGACCGCCTCATCGGAGAGACCTTCCTGCCCCCGCTATCATGTCGCTGGATCATTTCGACTGGATTGGTGACCCCGACCAGCACCTGCCGTCCCCCTTTGGCGAGTCGGTCAAGCGTGAGACGGAGGACCTGCACGCCACCATCTTCGGGCTGCTGGACGACATCCCCCTGCTGCTGCGGGACCATGGCAAGTTCATGTTCATGATCCGCTGCGTCACGCAGCTCGAGGACCACCACTATGACACCTACACACCATGCCAAGTGCGGGTCGATCTCGCTCTCAGGCTCTGGGAACTGGTAGGGACTGACTGACAGTCACTGAACTGACTGACACCGCTGCAATCAATCAATGTGTCGGCAGATCAGATCGGACTGATTGTTTGTCTGTGGTCTGTCTGCGGTCTGCGTGTGTCTTGTCTTGTGTGGTCGATTGCCTGACACTTCTAGATCCGGAACCCGCGTCTGACGTGTGCGGAAGTGAACCGTGTGGCCGACAGCCTGCAGTCGGTGCTGCAGTCGATCCACATCCGCCACCACCAGCTCATATGGATGCGACCTGACGCACGGTCTTCGCTCGTGCCCACCGAGGCGCTCGAGCCCCTGCGCAAGGCGCTGACGGACCACTGGCGGACACTCTACGACATGATCCTCAGCGACTTCCAACGATCACTGCGATCAACCACCGGCACAAGTAAGCAGCGCAGCCGCACACACCACACGGGCGGAGAGAGAGAATGCGTGGAGGCCTCTGGCTTTGGTTGTGTTTGGTGTGTGTGGTGGTGTCACTCCCGTCACGTCACACCTGCCCATCCCACAGGTTGTTCCCGTCGCAAGTCGAATATATCGATGCTGGCAAAGCTGGCTGCGTCGTGCCGGATGTTCTGGGACGCCGACGTGGTGGGGGGTGAGTTTGTGGAGGTGATGGAGCCGCAGGTGGACCCCCGCACCCACCGCCTCTACATGCACTTCCGCATGCTCATGCTCTTCCTGCCCTCCACCAAATTCCACACCCTCTTCTACCAAGGAAAAATACTCACATGGTCGGTAGGACAGTCAGAGAAGAGAGGAGAGCCAACATTCATTATACGGTGGGGTGCACACGCGTCTGTCTCTCTGTGTGGGTCCGGTCTGGTGCAGGTGGAAGCACGTTGACGGCCAGCTGTGTGCGTCGTGGGACAATCTGTGGTTCGCGGCGCTGTACCGCGCGGCCAAGACGGGCTGGGCGACGGGCCGGCCCATCACGGACGACGTGCGGCCGTACCTGCCGCAGATCTTCAATGCGCTCCTGCGGCACCTCAACATACCCCTGCAGCGCGTCAAGGGGCCGAGGATGCAAAGCGAATCGGTCAGTCAGATAACTAACTAACAGCCATCGATATGGTCACTCAGAGAGGAAGGAAGGTGTCAGTCGGTGCCTAAATCCAATCCCAATCCATGAGTGTGTGTGTGTGGATGTATTGTATTGTGTTGTCAGGTGCCTGCCGAGTACAAGGAGCTGCAGGACAAGACCAACCAGGGCAAAATCACCAAGTTCCTCGCACTCATCGTCGAGCCCATCGTCTCAGCACAGGCCAAGGTTGACAAATACCAGGCCCAACACACCCACCCTGCACCCGCCACGGCCACAGCCCCAGCCACAGACACCGACTCCCCCACCCTCCCCCCCTTTCCGTCGGTTCTGTGTTTCATGGAGGCCATCGTCGACGCCGTGTTCCCCTACACCCACCCCTCCAACAACGGCAGATGGGCCGTTCTCATCGCGGGACTCGTCTCGCAGTTTTTGGCCGCCTACTGCCGCCGTGTGGCGCGCGAGCGGATGGGCCCGGGGTGCGTGCGGGAGTGCGTGGGTCGGCGGGTGGACGACACAGGGAGGGTGGTGGAGGACCTGCGGCTGGGGGAGGCCGAGGACAAAAAGATCGCCGACATGTTCCTGCCCATGATCTTCCAGGGGCTCTTCGCCAAGAGCCAGGGGGCCTCCCACGGATATGAGGACGCCCTCAGGAGGCTCTGCTTCCTCCTGCCCGAGTACATTCTCGAGAGCACACTGCAGAGGTCAGGTCCGGGCGGGCGGCTTGTTGAAGAAGCAAGCAACAGAGAGAGGGGAACGAATCTGTCTGAGGATCGTTCGGTTGTGTGGCTGGCTGGGCTTGTGTTTGTGTGTGTGCACTGACTGCAGGCTCCTACCGTCGTTGGAGACGGTGACGGAGAGCCACCAGGTGCTGAGCACGATGACTTTGCTGACGAGGATATCGCCGCTGATCATCAAGCACCAGCCGGGGCTGCTGCCGGACGTCCTCTCGCTGACTCTGCCGGGCATCGAGCCCGCCGACCCCATGAAGACCCTCGCCACGCTGGGCTTCTTCACCGTCCTATTCTCACACATGCCCTGCTGCGACCTATCGGAGACTCCCGAGCTCGACGACACTGAGCTACAGGAATACTCCAAGGTCAGTCAGTCAGTCGACACACACGGCACGGAGACAGACCAGACCAGACCACACCCTCCCCCTCATCATGACCATCTCTCTGTGTGGTGTGTGTCCTGTGCACCAATCAAACCACCCAGGGCTACGCAGCGAGCCGTTACCCCGGCAACGCCAGCCCGTCCCTGACAGACCTGCGAGCGTCGTCCCCCCGTGCCGATCTGATTCCCATCGGCGAGTTCCCATCCTTCCAGAACTACCCGGGCGCGGCGCGGCCCGAGTCAGCCACTGTCGGCGATGCAGCCATGGAGGCCTCCAAGGAAAAGATCAGCCAGCGGCGGATGGTGACGTCGCTCATACCCGACTGGGTCGACCAGTACTTCGACGCCATACTCAGATGGGTCTCCACCGCCTCAAAGCCTGAGGTCAGTCAGTGAGTGAGACACACGCACGACCCACCACACCACGCGGGCATCCATCGCTGTGTGCGCGTGTGTGTGTGTGTGTGTGTGTTTGTAGGAGACGACGGTGTCTTTGATGGGTACGATCGAGAAGACTGTGGGGCTGGTGGTGGGCAAGTCGGTGGAGCAGGTGCTGACCCAGAGCGACCAGCCCACCATCCACCGCCTCTGCACCAACTTCGCAGACTGGATCGAAGGCAACATGCTCCCCGACTGCGCCAAGCACATGGCCATGATGACGCAGTGCTTCGCGCGAGCCGACGCAGCCACCGCCACCGACGTGCTCGTCCCCAGGGTCTACAAGCGGCTCATCACTCGAGGCCCGCCGCCCAAGCCGACTGGCGGCAGGTCCCAGCCAGCGACTCCCGCGACGCCCGTGGTTGAGGGCTGGGGTGAGGAGGAGGGCGATGTGGTGCAGCTCAAGGGGTCGATGCAGGAGACCGACATATCCTGGTACATGACCTGCCTCGCCAACGTCGTCAGGAGGTCAGCTGGGGGGGTCGGGTCACGGGAGGACGGAGCGGAGAGGCCTGCGGGAGGGAGGGAAGGGGTGGATGGCACACGCATGTGTGTGTGTGTGTGTGCGTGTGTGTGTGTGTTGGTGTTGTCTGTCAGGGGCGGTATGGCGACGTATGGTCACCGCGAGAAGCTGCAGGATGTGATGCTGGCGTGTTGGCGTCACGAGAAGAAGACCGTCTTCCGCTGGGGGTCTAAACTCATGCGCCGCTGCCTCGAGTCGTCGCTCACCTTCTACAGCAACGACTGCCGCGCAATGCCCGACGCAGCCTGGGACGACCCCAAGAAACGATCACTGCATCTGCTCACGTAAGTGAGCAGAGCAACCGACGCCTACCACCATTATTCTGCAGTCACCCCCTCCCCTCCGTTGTGTGTCAGGTGGGGCGAGCCGTGGTGGCAACTGCCTGCCTCACACGAGACCAGCTGGCACGCACCCTCGCAGGAAGAGATCGAATGGGGCCAGTAAGCACAGCACACACACCACTCGAGTGACACACAACACAACACAACACAACACACCCTCTTAACTTAACGAGCCCCCATGGTCACGTCTCCTTGCACTGCACAGGTCTCTGGTATCGATGGCCTTCGAGCGTGTGGGTTGTTTCCTCAACGGCGTCCTGCCCATCGAGGCCTACCACCTGGCCGACAGGGAGTCGGCTGGCCAGAGCACCACTGAGGGCATCGATGACGCCGACATGAACAACAACACCACCTCACCCTCCCCCGAGCAGCCGATGCAGAACGGCCTCGCGGCGAGTGGCGATGACGATGTGCTGATTGAGGACTTCCCCGGGTCGCCCGGGCTGCCGACTGAGCTGCGGAGGACGTCATCCTACCTGTTGGCGTGTCGGGCGCTCAAGCTGCTGAGGGACGTGGTCAAGGGCGTCACGGTAGGCAGAGAGAGCAAGCACACAGACACACACGGGCTTGGCAGCGGCACCTTCTTGTGGTCTGTCTGTCTGTCTGTCTCGCTGTGTTTGTTTGTGTCAGTGTGCCTATCCGGATGAGCGCACCAACGAGGGCGGCAAGTTCCAGAGCCCCATCGTCATCAATGCGCCAAACACACTCGGACCACAACTCATGAGGTAAGGACGTCAAGTCACCTGACTGACCACTAACTCTCACGCACCGGGTCAAACATCCCTCTCTGTCTGTCTGTCTGTCTGTTTGTTGACTTCTACAGCCGTGCGGGCAGCCTGGCCCTCCGTGTGGCGCAGCACATGCTGGGCATCGAGGTCGAGCCCCACCGAATCGCCTGCACCTTCAGGCCCGCCAGTGTGGTCTCTGGCGTGGAGGAGCCGCAGATCATGAAGAAGATCCTGCGGCTCTGCGACACGCTGCTTGTGCGCATCTACTCGGGATCTAACGCTGTCCGGACCATCGCCAGCCTCTACTCGTCGGCATACCAGTCGCCCAACGATGGTAGGCAGGCCACACACTTAGACAGACAGACACACAGGGGAATGGGAAGACAACACACGTGTGTATGCGTGTGGAGTGCATTGTGTGTCTGTGTACCTAGGTATTCACGTGTATGGCGGTTGGCAGGACTACCCGCGCTCTTACTGGAAGCACAAGATCGAGAGCAAGATGCTCGACCGTGTGGAGATCCGCCGTAAGGGCCACCCCTTCACCGGCATACGACGCTACCTCCTGACACTCGTCGCCAACCTCTCCATGTACTACTACGCCCAAGTCCGCAAATTCGCCCAAGACGTCCTCCGCGACGCATGCGCATGCCACTACGGCGCACGCACCAAACTCATCTTCGCTTTCCTCCGGGAGCTCGATGCGCAGTGCAAGAGCGCCGCCCTGGCCGACGCCTCCCCCTCCCCGCCCCTCTCCCCAGCCGAGGCACTGCCGAGCGTCAAGGTGCCCCCCGAGGCCCTCGCCAGATTGGCCAAGGAGGCCGCGGCTGCCGGCGGCGCCAGCGCCGCCGAGATAGCAATGCTGCAGCAGCTGGCGGCCGGGGGCGGCGAGGTGGGCGGCCTGTCGCCCGGCGCGATTCAGGAGCTGGCGGCTAGTGCAGGTGTGGAGGTGGCGGTGGCGTCGCGGCCGCCTGGTAGTCCTGATGGGCCGATGGGCGGGGCTACTGTGGGTAGCCCCGAGATGGCTCGCGAGAGGGGTCAGCACGAGAAGAGGAAAGAGGGTGGCGAGGGGGACGCTGACGACCTCCGCAACGCCCGGATGAGCGGCATCGCGTTCTCACTCAGCGGCGCGTCAATGCAGCGGTATGTATGTTATGTCAGCTGGCTGAGTGAGCCGGGGGCAGAGAGGCAAATTGGTGGAAACATGTATGTTTTGCTGTGTTTGTATGTGTCTGTCTTTGTGTTTGTACGTGTGTGGTCATGTCAGTCGATTGTGGAACAGCCCCAAGACGGTGAAGGCGGCTTTCTTGAGTCTGGTGCAGTGCTTCAAGCGTCAGATCGACCGCGACACGGTGCAGGCGAGGCTGCTGTCGGTCTTCTACTCGTTCCTCGCTTACAGAGAGCAGCTCAGGAAAGACGATTACTACGACGACAAAATCGTCAAGGTGGGTCACACACACAACACACATAACACACACCAACAACTCGCCAAACCATCCTCCGTGCCAGTCAACACCCCATATGTGTCTGTGTCTGTGTGGGTATCTCTGTATCAACCAAACCAAACTGTCAGGGTGTGATAGTGCCCCTGCTGGCGGACCTGAGCGGCAGCGAGAGCAGCGCCAAGACACTCCCATGGCGGTACTCCCTCCTGGCCACCTGCGGCATGGTGGCACTCAACTCGCCACCCTCAACGACGGCCCTGGAGCCCTACCTCTTGTGGCTCATCCGGGCGCTCGACGTCAGCACCTTCTCCATCATGCTCAACACCGTCGCCGCACACGGCCTAACCATGGCACTCGCACACCTAAAGAAACAGTGAGTTCCGAAGACGAGAGCTGTCGGCATTCTTGTCCCATCTCTCTCTCCCTCTGTGTGGGGGGACAGGCCCGAGTGCATCCCGCCCTCAGTGGTCCGTGAGCTGCACTCCAAGGCGACCTTGCAGCAGTTTCTCAAGTCTCTGACGGCGGTGCACCACCAGAGCCTCAACCATCAGGGCGGGCCTGACAGCGAGATCGCTCAGCACGTCGTCGTCGACGTCATCCGGATCGACATCACCTGGCCCATCTTCCGCAGCGGCCGCACCAGCGGGGCCTTCTCGCTGCACAACGTCCTCTTCTGGCAGACCCTCTTCCAGCTGCTCTACCGAACCAGGGACGCAATCAAAGGCGACACCGAGAGGTCGGTGAGGGGTGCACTCACTGAGAGGATAGGAAAGACCCACACCCTGCCGAGCCATCCATTCTGCTTGCTCGTCTTATTCCCCCGTGTGTGTGTGTGTGTGTGTGTAGGGTGTTCTTCCTAGATGGCCCGTTGGGTGAGATGTTGGAGGAGCTGACGTCCCAGCCAGCCACCGAGCAGGAGCCGCACGTGGCCTTCACGGAGGTCTTCTCGGGCGTGGTGCGTGCGAGCCGCAAGTGGGCGCCGGAGGACAGGGAGAAGCTCTGGACCGTCATCTACCCGCACTTTGTAGGACAGAACACATGTGCACCACACACAGGAACTCTCCACTCACGATACATTACACCCTTCCCTTGTCCGTGTGGTGTGGTGTGGTGTGGTGTGTTCAGGTGTTGGAGTTCCACGCCGCGAACCGCGAGCGCGTGCCTCACCTGAGTGACGCGATGCGGTATGCGGTGCAGAAGGTGACCGACAGGGAGGGCTCGCTGCCCTTCTGGCCGCTCTTCAACATGATCCTCGACCTCGAGAAGGAGCCAAACAGCACTCAAATCCAGGCAAGGCAGGTGCCGTGTGTGTGTGTGTGTGTGCGTCGTCAGCACACCGGGGGGAGGGAGGGACCGAACGACGTTCGTTCATTGGTGTGTCGGTTTGTGTGATGGTGTTGTGTTGTTTGTGTTGTGTTGCGTCCACCAGACGTTGGCTCCGCTGCAGGGTGAGGACGGGGGTGCGGGTACGTCGACCTTTGAGCACTACAAGCGTCTGAAGCTGTACGAGGCGCTGTTGCTGGAGACCTACTGGGCCCTCCCGGACCTCCTCACCACCGTCATAGACCCTGTCAAGACCGCATTCGCACACCCCTACAAACAGGTGTGCACGCAATCAATCTGTCAATAAGCACACAACACACGTGTGCCAACATGTTTCCGAGCGTGTGTGGTTGTGTTGTGTTGTGCAGGTGCGTGAGGAGGTGGCGCGTGTGCTGTATTTCATCCAGGGCGTCACGCTGTCGGCCACCGCACCCAAAGACGTCAGACCCATCGGCGGTATGTCAGTCAGTCAGTCTTGCCAAGCGACACACACCACACACCTTACACCGGACACGGCGTCTCCTCTCCCGCATCTGTCTGTCTTATGAATTTGGTCAGAGGGGCTGACGCAGTTCCTGGTCGACCAGGCCAGCGACATCACGGTAGGCAGCTACACACCAAGTAGTAGTCATTGATTATTCAGACGGACGGACACAGAGGAACCCATTTCTCTCTCTTTCTGTGTGTGTGTGTGTAGCAATTCCTGGAGACGGACAGCACCTCTGCTCACGGTGAGTGCCATGGAGGGGCGGACAGGACACACCAAGCAAGACACAGACAGACAGACACTCATGCCATGCATGCGTCGCATCCATCGCTTGTGTGTGGTTTCGTTCAGACCGTCAAGTCGGGGAGAGCCGGCCATCGCCCCTCTGCGGTGGGTAACCTAACCCAGGCCACCCGGCAGCAACACCACTCCACTCGCCGTCTGCTCACTCCTTGAGTGTCTGTGTGTGTGTCTGTGTGTGTCGTCGATTGCTCAGCGTCTGAGTGCGTGTTGTATCAGTTTGTGTGGTCCCTGGCGGCCCACGACCAGAGATTCGCCACACCCGCTGCCATTAAAGTCAGTACGCAATCACACAACAGCGCGCCCCGCCCCCCTGACTTGTCCCACTCGCCTGTCGGTGTGGTGTGTGCCTGCCCTGCCCTGCCCTGGCTGTGTGTCGTTTCGTTCATTCAGTGTATGCCGTTCTTCTTTGCCGGGTGCAAGCACCCCGACACCGACGTCTCCACCCTCTCAAACAACACACTCTCACTACTCGCAAGTAAATAAGTGACAAGACATTTCACATTTCACACTCCCTCCCCACCATACACACACACCCCCCGCGGAGCCGACCCTCCCACCACCTTTCCACCCACCGCGTGTGCGTGTGCCTGTGCGTGTGCGTGCAGTGTCCCGGCTGCACATCAAGATGGCTGAGACGGACCCCCGTGCGGCCCAGGTGCCCATCGCCCGGCTGCGGCCCGGTGTGCTGGAGCACCTCAAGGCGCACCTCGATAGCGGGTCCAGAAAAGTCAGGATCGCACTTATCCGATTCATTGAGGTGCGATGCTTTGCGATGCGATGCGACCGCAGCACAGCACAGCACAGCCCAGCCACAGCGGTGCGGTGTGTGTCAGACGTTGGCGAGTGGTTGTCGGATGGTGCTGTACTCGACGTCGGAGTATTCGGAGCTGATCGACATCACAATCGCATCGCTGCAGGACTCACAAGCTGACGTATGTGCGCAGGGCAGGCAGACACACGCGCAACCCCCCTTTCTGTGTGTATGTGTCTCATTGGATCGGTGTGTGCGGTGTGACCCATCATCCATCCATTGTCTGATCTATCTATTGTGTCCATCCATCAGGTTCGTCAGGCGGCCAAGGAGGCGCTGTCGTCTCTCTTCATGACCTGCAACAGCCACGAGATCAAACACTTCACTAACGTAGACACACACACACACACACACCACCAAGCCAAGCGGCCATCACATCACTGTTGTGCCTGTGTCTGCCTTGTCTGGCTGGCTGCCTGTAGGTGTTTGTCAAGCTGGCCGGCCCGCCCCCCTCCACCAAGAACCCCAATGTGAGCAAACAAACCAAACCCACCATCTCTCTCTCTCTCTCTCTCTACACAGACATATTTTTCTCTCTGTGTATCTGTGTGTAGGGCACGAGCGAGCCAGCTGCGATGCAGGCGGGCGTGTTGGGTCTGGCGGCCATCGTCCAGGCCGTCCCCTACCATGTCCCCGACTGGCTACCCGACACCATCACCACACTTGTCAGCAAACCACGCCAACACAACACAGACAACGAAGACGGACACGCACACCATACCACTTCCACTCCCGTCTGTGTGATGTGGGTGGATGGACCATCGTTTGTCAGGCTCGTTACGGCCACTCGAAGGCGCCCGAGATGATCCGGAAGGAGGTGCAGAAGAGCCTGCAGGAGTTCTTCCGCACCCACCAGGACGCATGGAAGCAGCTGCACGCACCCAAGTTCACCGAGACCCAGCTCGACATACTCGACGCATACAAGGGACGACCCTCCTACTTTGCCTGAATGAGGGGACTGTGTGTGACCCTGACCCTCGCCCTCGCCCTCTGGCTGGCTGAAATCTGGCTGCAAAAGGGCAAGACGTGGGCCGGGCCGTGGGCAGCGTCTCTCTGTGGGCAAATGGGATGCGGGTGCTGCTGGCTGGCCTAGTGTGTGTACCATACCCCGTTGCCGTACCGTTTAAGCGTCCGTCCTCCCGTCTCTCGAGAGATGGATGGATGGGAGGACGGGACATAGAGAGAGAGGTTGTCGGCCATAGGCAGGTAGAGCGAGTCAGTCAGTGTGTGTATGGGTGTGGCGTCTCGTGGGTGGGTGGAAGGGGTGGAATTGAGTCGGCTGGGTTTGGGTTTTTCAATGCCGAGCCTAGCAAGCTGCCTGTGTGTGTGAGTGTGTGAGAGAGACGGGGCATTGACCATCCATGCATGGCCCATGCCCACGTTTGATGAACGAACCAATCAGCGAATGAATGCATTGTGTACGTCAACACCTCCACCACCCCGTCAACCCCTCACCCACAATACAAGACACTCACGCACGCCAACACAACACGCCCCGGCGCCCCCGAAGGACTCACTCGTCACTCCTCAGGTGTCTCGAGGGCCAACCTGACATATCAATCACACACACACACGCACAGGGCGTGGCAGGGCGTCTATCAATCAGTAATCAGTACTAACAACCACGCACAGGCCAGGCGAAGGCAGCCCTGCCCTGCCCTCACCTCAGGACCTTCATGCAGGTTCCAAAATGCTCCCGAGCCTGGTCACAGCACAGCACATATCATTCATATCCACGCATCGATCGCATCAAAACAAACAGCTGGGACGGAGGCAAGCTAGGCAGACAGGTAGGTGCCTTGTCTTGCGTTGCGTTGCCTTGCCTTGCGTGGTGGTGTCTCACATCCGCACCACCCACTCCACTCCCCTCCCCTCCCCTCACCCACCATCCATCCCGACTCACTCACCCGGATGTCCGAGAACTGGAAAGACAGCGGCGGGGCGTTGCGCAGAATCAGCGTGCAGCACATCTACACACACACAGACACACACACACACACTCATGGAGTCAAGACAGATGGCGTGCTATGGCTATGGCACCAACCGACCCATCAGCCACGTACCGGTCCCGGGACGTCATGTCCGAGGTCGATATCCCCGTCGTCCCCACAGAGCACGTCGAGGACATCGACGATGTCCAGCTGCTTCACCTGACGCTGCGCCTGGATGCTCAACACCTGCACACAGACAAGACACACAGGAGGGTGCGTTGTGTTGCGTCTTGTGTGTGCAGTGCGGGGACGGGACATACATACAGTGAGGCTGCGGTCGATGGTGCAGAATGCGGGGACGACCGACCCGGTGTTATCGAGGAAATCCAACCACACCCCACTCAGCGCCTCCTGAACACAACAGATGAAAGAACGAACGATGCCGACAAAGATGCCGTTCCATGCATGGGATGGCTGCCATCTTGTTCTCTGTGTGTGTCTTCTCAGAAGATACCCTCACAAATTCCTTGATGATGTTCTGCAGCCTCTGCATCTCACGCCGCCTCCCCTCTTCATCCAACGAGCTGCCGCAACGAAGGGAGGGAGACACAAGGGATAAGACACAGACATCTTCGCGCAATCGTCCCTCGCTCAGTAAGTGAGTGGCCCACCCATTCGTCAGAGCCTCGTTTCTCTCCACCACAAAGTCGCTCGGCACCGTCAAAGCTGACAATGTATCCCATATGACCCATATGACCCCCCTCATCCCACCAGGCCCCTGTTTGTCGCTCACTTGGCTTTGCGCTGAAGAAGGGATTTGAGAAGATGACCGGCGAGTGCAGCCTTGGCGACATCTTGTCACTCTCATCCCCACCCCTCCCAATACTGCAGATGCCGCAGTGGTCATCCACGTCACCCACATCAGCCACATCAGAGGGGCAAACACGGGCAGATTTCACAAGTGCACCACCGCCACCACCACCGCCACCAGCGGACGACGGCGCAGGCGATGGGGCCGTCTGGTCAGCCTGGAGAGGGCGGGGCTGGCGAGCAGCACTGGCAGAGGGGGATGCGGGTGTGGGAGGGGCGGGAGGGGAGCCGGGCACGGTGGATGACGACTCTGTAGTACGTGGGACGGAAACATGGATCAATCAAAGGAGATCACCTGGCTGGCCCTTTCTCTTGTTGTCACCACACGCCCTCCTCACCTAATGGCGGTGCCGGGGTTGACTGCTGGCCCTTCACGAGGCGAATCTGAACACAAACACAAACACATCAACAGCCGGTTTGTTTGCGGGCCGCCTGGGGCAGTGAGGGTATTCATGCCAATTGGTTCATGCCTCGTTCTTTTCGAAGAACTCATCCTCCGCCCGCCTCCTGGTTAAGGGCTTCTTCGACAAGCGCTTCTCCTGACAACACGACGAACCTGAACCAACAACACAGTCGGGAAGAAACAAACGTGACCTGTGAGTGAGATCGCCTACATGACGCGAAGAGGAACATTTCTTCAAATGCGAGAGACGCTGGCCCTCGTGGCGAGCTTAATGGCCCCCAGCCGGCCGGAAAAATAGCCGAGTTAGTCTGGTTGAAGGTATGGCGGTGCCGCTTCCCAGCACATCGCAGAAGCCGCCAATGGCAGGTAGGCAACAAGCGGACCCACAGCTGCATGGTTCATTCCATCCAAATGGCAGAGAAGATCAGATCTTTGTGTTTTGTCCGTGGTGGCTGGCATGATAGGTCTGCCGCCGGCGCAGGGCGGCAAAGTCTATCCCCACCCGCCGTTTGTGTCCACCGTGTCCACCACATCCCACACTGCCACCCCTGGAGCCGTCAAGAGCAACACGCACACCACCATCCGATTTGACCCCTCGACGGTCAACCCCCTGCTGCCACCCCACCCCCGCCCTCCTCCACATCACACGGCGGTGCTCGCCAATGCCGCCTATCCCGGCATAGTGACGCCTGCCGGCCGCCCTCCTCTGGTGCGGCCTGCGGGCGGCATGATGCCCATACCACCCACACCCACAGCAGCAGGGCCCATCAAGTCCCACCCGGTGCACACCTCACACCAGCAGCAGCAGATGCCGGGCTACCCGCAGCCCGGTTTCCTGGACGACCATCGCATCATGCAGCCCTCACCTTCGCACGGCTACTTCATGCCGTCCCGCTACCCATTCCACCCGGGGGTGACACTCGGGCCGCGCGGCTCGCTCTCGCCACCCGCACTCATGGGCACCATGCCCAGCATGAGCACCATCAACAACAAACCACCCCCTGCTGCTGCGGCGACCCCCACCGCCACAGCCAGCAACAACGTCTACACGCCACCGGCAGTTCGCGGGCCGCTGAGCCATCTGCCGCCGGCGGTGAGCACTGGGGCGGGGGTGGGGATGGGGGTGGGGGTGGGCACGGCAACGGGTGTGCACATGGGTGCGGGTGGAATTCGGCCACCCCTGTCGCCCTATGTGTCGTATCTGCGGCCGATTCGCCCCCCTGCGCCGGCGGTGAGCGGTGCGGTGAGCGGGCCGGGGGGGTACGTCAGAGATAGCGGGGTGGGAGGGGGTGTTGGTGGGGGAATTGGCGGGGCATATGGGGGTGTAGTTGGTGTGGGTGCTGGTCCGGTGCCGCCCGGCGGGTTCAACCCGATATCGTTTAAGCAGGAGCACGTGCGCATGGAGCCGTCGCTGAGAGGTGAGGGGGGCGGGGGAGGGAGGGAGGGATTGACAGGCGTGGAATGGATGTGTCTTTGTTCTCTCTCTCTCTCTGTGTGTGTGTGTGTGTGGCATTGCAGCCATTCAGCGGGACATCTCCAAGTTGTCGGGTGAGGTAGAGCGCGAGAGGGCCCTCAACACGCAGCTGCAGCAGCAGGTATTCCAACACCAGGTAGGAAGGGGGATCAGATCAACACACACATAACGATACACACACAATACACACGGCCAGAACACTCGTGCTCTGTGTGTGCGTCTGTGTGTCCGTGCGTGTGTGTGTGTTGCATCAGCGTGCCCTGCAAGGGCACCAGGGGATGGTGCAGGTGCCGACCCAGCAACAGCAGCAACACGTAAGCTCACACACACACACACACACACGCACACAAAGCGGCACCCACCCTCATCTATCTGATGTGTTTGTGGTGTGTTGTGTCTGTCACGTTGTATTCTGTTGCGTGGTGTGTCAGCACGTGCCGCCCGACGTAGGTCAGATACTGGTTGAGGGCGGGGTGGCCGGCAACTACTTCGACCACTACCTCACGCTCTTCATCATGGTGGGTGCATCCATCTCCTGACTGCCCTACCTGGGGGCACAGCACAAATCACATACACTTCTCACCCAACTCGCTGGTGTGGGTGCGTGGCTGCAGGACAACCCCAACATCGCCATCCAGATCAAGAAGCTCAACGAGGGGGCATACACCATCAACGGATACCCAGTGAGCGGATTTGGGGAGCACTCACACGGGGGAAGCCCACCACACGTGTGTGTGGCTTGTGTTTATGTCTGTCTGTCTGTGTGTTTGTCGGTCCATGTGCATGTGTGCAGGTCCGCATGGAGTTCGATGCTGAGAATAGGGAGATCATATTCGACGGACAGGAGTGGAAGCCATTCCTGGTATAGTCCACACACACACACACACACACGAGACAAGACAACCACACCTGCCTGCGCAAACCAAACCAAGACCCGTCTCGTCTTCTTGTCATGCTGCTTCGCCTTATAATTGTTAGGTTGGCGTAGCTGCGTTGGTTGGTGCTGGCGGTAGTGGCCATGACGACGAGTCCCCCCCACCGGCACCGAAACGGGGGGCGGCAAAGTAAGTCACCCCGCCACACACACACACACACACACACACAACGGAGAGACACCTGCATTCATTCTGACACCCCCTCTTCTGTCCGTGCCTCCCTCCATTGGATAGGTCTCGTGGCGGTGCCAAGGCCAAGGCGGGTCGCAAGACGGCCCCGTCGAGATCGGCGGCGGCTGCGCCCAAACCCAAACCCAAAGCCAAGCAGGCCAAAGCAAAGTAAGTGACGGAGTGAGTGCAGCCACTAACGGCGGAGACACGGTGGGTGACGTGTGTGTGTGTGTTTGTGTGTGTGGTCTGGCCTGCCTGCAGGCCCAAGGCTGGCGGGCGCAAGTGATTTAGAGAGCATGCGTCAATGCGTCAGACCAGACAGAGGGGGGAGGGGAGGGAGGGAAAAGGTAGCTATGATTGATGCGTGTGCAGGTGTGTGTGTGTGTATGTGTGTGTGTGTGTATGTGTGTGAGGAGGGGGGCCACACTGACTGCCGTGTACCCAGACAGCTATAGAAGGAGTGCAAGCTTATCGAGGGGGGTGAGGGCTGGCCGGAAGCGATCCGGGAAGATGGGTAGAGGCATGGCGTGCACACTGGCGGTGTGTGTGTGTGGGTGCACGGACGATGTGCGGCCATTTCGGTGCATACGTCACACATCACATATCACATATGTGTGCGTGTCTGTGAGTGATTGATGGGTAGAAAGACGGACGTCCACACATGACATGTGTGGGTGTCCTGGGTGTTCCATCTGTGCGTGCGTCGCGTCGCTAGTGCGAGGATTGATTGACTTCACCAATAAACACATGCACACATCCGTGGCCAATTTGGTCGCCAAGACAAGGTCAGTTATCTACACCCCACTCCCAACACGCCCCAATCTCACTCTAATCTATCAAGCCCCCTTGCTGCAGCCAGCAAGGCAGGCCTATCAGACACCCTCTCAGCTCTGCTCATTGAGGAAGATGCTTTTGCTGCGTCGGGTGTGCCGAAGACGAGGGCACAAGTGCGCCGTAGCTCCTCTAGCATCACATCACACAGCTGAGAATCATGTGGTGCAGAGCGGATGGCCATCGAGAGACAGCGGCAGTCGTTAACGGCGATCGACTGCACCGCCCGGGCGGTCTTGACGGCCTCGATCACCGCCTCGCTGGCCTCATCGTCTCGTCCCAGCCAACACAGAAGCATGCCCCGGAAGAAGTGGAGCCGGCTTGCCCTCATCGTGGGCACCTTGGACGCCATCGACTGCTGCAGGGCCTCCACTCTCCTCATGAGGGCGCCAAAATCTCTCTGGACAGCCGTGCGCGATGTCCCGCCCTGATGAAGGGCGGTGACGCGGTGGATCCCCTTGCCGATTGCCGCGATGGCCTCTTGGCTGTGCTTCTCGTCGTGCTGCACGGGTGAAGGGATGCCCCACCGCTCGGCCATCGAAATGACGTCGCCGTGATCCACATAATCGTTGGCGTCAGTGGGGTGTCCGTCGTCAAAGAAGTCAGCTGTGACGCAGCCGCCGCGGCTGATGGGACGCACCGCCCTCACGACCAGCAAGTCGCCCACCACATACCTGACCATACCAGACGCAGACACACAAGTCCATTGTGGCGGAATGGGGCGTGTCCACCCCTCCCGTGCTGCGTACCATATGGCATTCCTGTCGTATCTCGCATGTCTGATGAGCGACGGCAGTATCCACACCCCTGATGCCAGAGTGGACCTGAAGTCACCAGCTGCACGAGGGAGACAGCTACGGATGGTGCCACTAATGCGATGGTTGAAGGTCATGAGCCGGGGAATGCTGTCGCCATCGACCTGGGCCACAGGCGAGCCGAACTCCTCTGCACCATGGGACTGCATGAAGCGGGGCAGCAGGGGGAAGCCAGGGACCAGGCCAAGACACGTCTCGTGGGACGGCGGGGCCGCGAGAGCCGAGGGCCGCTGCTGGCCCTCTGACAGACAGCACAGCTGCGACACCAGCCGGGGATGCCACGTCCTTGCAGGCCGCCATCAGCTGTCTGTAGCCGTCGGAGCTCGTCAGCGATGCGAAATCACCGGACGATATGACGACGGGCTTTTGGACGAGCAGCAGCTGGCCCACTTGGATGTCCTCTTTCGCATAGAGGCGAGGCTGCTGGGCCTCGTCGTGTCGCACGGACACGGCGCCGCCGTACTCGGCCACGTCGATGGATGTGGGGGGCTGTCCGTGCCTCATGGCAGTGGTGTTGTCGAGCTGCTGACGGTAAATGGCGGCCCAGTCAAAGTCGCCCTTAGCATTGGCCCGGTGGGTGCGGACACGTTGCTGCAGTGTGTCGGCCTTCGTCCTCATCTGACTTTCGCCAACCTGATTGACACACACACACACAGAGCACCAATAACGCACCACCACACACATCATCCCCTTTTCCGTCACTCCCCACTCCCCCCCTCACGTGTTTCTTGATGGCCTTGGCAATGACATCAGCAGCGTCGAAGAGCCGCTCGGCCAGCAGCCCCTGGCCCAGCCGCACGAGGCACTTCTGCTGGATGGTGGTCAGCTGCTGGGAGGGGCCATGACGCAGGCAGCTCAGATGGAGGGCGGCAGCCGCACACCCCACAGCATCCGGGCCCCCCTCCCGAATGAGCTCGGGCTTGAGCAGACACGCCGAGGCGTTGCTCAGCAGCGCAGTGAGCGTCGCGACATGTCAGCACCAGCCAGACCGGCAGTGAATGTGTCACGTGCCTCGGCATATCTGTCCTCCTCCTGCAGCTGCTCGCCTGCCGCGAGTGCATCGGCCACCTCGAGTGGCTCAGACGGTCCCGGTGCCTGGACTCGCGCGCAGAGGTGCTGCATGGCGTCCTTCATCAGCCTCCCAATCGCCTTGGGCGATGGCAGGGCGACATCGCCGTCACCCTGGCGGCCATTGAGCCACATCATGATGCCCTTTCCGTAGAGTTCTGCGGCTGTCTTCTGGATGAGAGCCGACTTACTGCCGGGCTCGAGGGAGGAGGGAGGGGGGAGGATGCGGAAGGCCGTGGTGACGTCGGTGAAGGCGCTGACGTAGCTCTCGAGGGCGAAATGACACTGCGCCCGACAGACCAACAGCTCAGCGAGTGACTCGAGATTCGCCAAACGGACGCCCTGCGGTGCACACAAACAACACGGCATTCAGTGCGCGTCTGTGTTGCCGGCCCTCCTGCCCCGTGTGTACCTTCACGTATGCCCGGTAGGCGTCGAGGTACTTGCCCTTGCCAAAGAGTGCATTGCCGATGTCCTTCCACTTGTCGAGTGGTGACACAGGCGCAGCTCGGTCTGTGCTGTACGTCCCTTCGCCCCCGTTGTCACCGCTCCTCGCCTGCGCTTCGATGGGGCTGCCAGTGATCTCCGCATAGAAACTCGCCACCTGGCAGTGCGACCAACACGACCGCCTGTGCCGCGAATGGCGTGAGCAGTCTTCTGCCGCCCACCTTTGGATGCACTGTGAGCTGCTGGTATGCTCCCGTGCTCGGCGGCACCCACTCAGACAGCATCTGCATCAGCCAACACACAGCCCACACATGCATGGCATGACAAGTGAGATGGGCTGCCTTCGGGTCTCTTTGCTTGCCTTCGATGTTTGCTGCAGGATGACATTCTTAGCCCGTTTGGTCCGCTTCATATCCTGCGATGCGTTTGCCCCGGATCTGACCATGTAGGCCAGCAGCTGGACGATCCTGTCGACCTTCTCATCTCCTGCCATGAACGTGATCTCGCCCTTAGCATGGCGGTACAGCAGACGGCAAAGGACGAGAGCCACATCCGCATCGGTCGCAACCTGTCGCCCACGCACGAACCATGTTTGCTGAATCGCTGCCTTCCAATGAGGCTTCCCTCGCTGACCTTTTCTTCCTCGTGGGCGAGTTTCTCGAGTACATCGGTGCTGCAGTGCAAGAGCCCCCGGTGGAACTGAAGGCTCGGCATGCGCTGGTCATCGATCACGGCCAGCAGGGCATGGAGATAGCCTGCCTCGATCAGCTGGCTGGCATAGGAACCGCCTGCACAAATGTGTGAACAGACACCGACAAGCACAGTGACCGTGTCTGTCGCCGATATGCATGGCACGGCACGGTAATGTGTCGTCACTCACGGCAGTGGAGCAGATGGGCAGGAATGGATGTGAGCATGACCCCTGGCAGCCAGCACCTGAAGCCATGGTACCGCTGGAGCACATCTGCAGCCGCCCTCAATCCCGTCATGTTGCCCTTGAGCAGGTGCTGGGTCGGCTCCTGCAAGATGTCCCGCGCCTTGGTGCGATCCTGTGCCCATCTGCAAGCCTCATAGGCCGCTCCGAAGATGAAGGAAAGCACGAGAAATGCGTTCCATCGGACGCCGTCCGAAGCCGTATCGGACACGAGCACGTCGACGAGGCGCGCGGCGTGCGGGCACATGTGCCGATGGACAGCCGACAGAACCTCCTCATGCGCACCTGAGGAGAACGAGAACGAACAAAGGCCAAGATGCAGAAAGAACAAGCGGGAAGCTCGTGAGTCACTCGCGTGTTGCAAGTCGGACCTGTGTGTGACATTTTCTCGAAGCTGGTGTACAAGCTGCCCGTCACCGCTGTGACCATCTCGCATCCTTCGCTCCCCGGTGGCCATGTCAGGTCGCCCGTTTGGTCGGTCTCTGGTCCGACCCGCCCCACCTCGCTCACCGCCACCTCCACCACCGCACCGAACGACTTGACCTACGAGGCAACAGGGATGTCAGCCAATGACGCGGGCACGTACAAAAAAGTCAGGAACCTGAGGGCCGTGACGCTCGGGACAGCCGCTTCCGCTCGTCTGACAAGGTCCACATGATGTGTGAACAGATGGTCCCGCATCGGTTGGTGTGGCAGATCGGGGTCGCGCCTCGAAATTGCCGATGAGAGGAGGGAGAAGATGGCCTCATCTACCAGATCTGACAGCCCCCGAGCCGCGTTGATGTCCGATAGGAAACAACACAGCCGTTTGAATTCATCGATGCGAAGCTGCGGTGACCGAATCTTGAAGAACTTGATGACGGCACGGGCGGCGTCAGCCTGCAGCTGCGGATCTGTTGCGTCACCCAGCGCCGACACGAGAAGAGTCCATTTCGCACCACAGCAGTCCTGCTCAACTCGCAACACTTCATCCACAAGCTCTCTAGCGGCCCTCTTCGCGTCTGCCGAGCCACGCGCCGACTCACACGCTGCCATGATAGCCGCCTCTGGGTCAAGGGTTCAGGATTCTGTAAATGCGACGTTTTCATCTTGCTGCCCTCCACCCGTAGGGAGTCCTTCGAGAGTGCCCCGATGGCCCCCTTCCAGCGTCCGGATCCTCATCTGATGTCTGTGGTTTGGTATTCGTTGCCCTTTCTCGATGGTACCGACCTGCTCAAGGCACAGACAGGTGACTGGACGACGAGAGCGGGAGATGAAGCAGATGAGAAGCAACAATGGCTGGCTGTGTTTGCTGCAGTGTGCAGGGAGATCAAGGAGATGCTCGAGCCCCACTGCTCATCGGGCATCTGGCAGCTGCAGGAAAACCCACACAAACGCATCCTTAGTTTCCCGCTTTGCAATGCATTCATCGACGCTGCTTGTGTGGGTCGTCCGCAGTATCGTCGTTGGTTGAGCAAGAGCAACATTCGTCTCATCGAAGGCGCCGCCCACCACCCGCACCCCTCGGCCGCCTTGCCCGAGAGCCGCTACCGCGAAGCAAGGCGACGCGGCAAAGTGATCTCTGACTTGGGCGCCAACAAGAACATCAGTGAGCTGCGGTGGGGCAAGGCCACGTGCGAGAATCCCACAGACGAGATGGGGCGGAGCCGCTCGGCCGCCTTCGTCCTGAGCGAGCATCTGTATGAGTTCGGTAAGACACCGCTGGCTGCGATGGGTGGATATGGACTCCCTGCCATATTCCGTGTTTTCTGTCGACTGCTTGATTGTTCGATCAGGTGGAGTGGTGGGCGGCATCGGTCAGCACAACAGCTACAAAAACGACCTGTGGCGGTACGGTACACGCGCACACACACACACACACTCAGACACGCACTCACACACGGGCCATCCATCCTTTACTTACGTGTTTTCCTTTTCAGTGTGTCGCTCCAGCCCCTTCTGTCGTTTGGCAAGTATGCCTGGGAGGAGTGTGTGGTCGCTGGCAGCCCACCGGCATCCTCCGACTCACTCACCCTCACCCCCATCAGCGTCCCCTCCCCCACACCCACGCACATCGCACATCCCGAGATGCCCCAGCGGTATTTCGCTTGCGGCGGCCAACCGGTGTGAGCGACAGGAGAGACCGAGACCGCTTCTGGGGTGTGCTCGAGATCGATCGCACTCACGGTGGGGATGCGGATGTCGGTGTCGGCGAGCTGCAGTATCGTTGGCTGAGTCAGCGAGAGTTGTTGAAGGAGGCGGCGGGGGAGGTGGCCAAGAAGCGGAGGGTTGACCACAAGCCGCCTCAACCGGTGACTGATGCTCACGAGGGCTTTCTCAGAAGTGGTGGATGTGTATGCATCGTTTCTTCATACATGTCTTGCAGTTGCTACTTCACATCTACGTTTGTTCCTGTCCGTTCGTCTGCTCATGCGGACGGTTTCGTCTTCATCTTCGGAGGCAAAGACACAGACGGGTACATTACCGACGGCCCTTTGTCAGACAATGACAACTCTCACCCAACGTATGTGTTTCTTCCTGTTGTGTGCAGCGAGGCGTTGAGCTCCACGACCATCGTGGATGTGGCGACCTGGTCATTCAACGACAAGTAAGAGACCCCCCATTCGCCGCCACTACCACTCTCATCCTGTCTGTCTGTCTGTCTGTCTGTCTGTGTGTCCATGTCAGCGATCGCAGTGTGAGCGGCACGCCGCCAGCCGCTCGTCTCAACCACACGGCCACACTCATCAAGGATCGCTATGTCTTCATCGTCGGCGGCGAAGGTAGGCAGGACATGAGGCCACCCACCTGCGCCGCACACGGTGAGCTGCCTGCACACGGTGTAGAGTGGGGGGAGAGCGAGTACCACCAGCCCAATTCGCCTGTGGGGTTCTCCTGCCCGCCCGACGTCGCGATCTTCGATGGAGACACCAAGACGTACACAACATGTCCATGTTTTCAGTCATTGTGTGTGGACGTCTCCCTTCTTTGTTTTCTCCAGATGGATCGACTTTGACGATCTGCCGTGGGTGTCGAGCGGCATACAGCCATCAGTCGATGACGGTAAGCACCACATCACACCACACCACACCACATCACACCATTACTGATGTAGGTGTCTGTCTGTGTCTGAATTCAGGTGCTCTTTGTGACCTGCTGAGCCGCCACCAGCGCGACTTCTGCCCCGAATGTGGCTCGCCCACGTCATCTACATGCCCGACGACATGAGGTTTGACTTCGCCCGCCACTCGGCCGTCGCTGCAGGTCACCCACCCCCCGGCAGACCAGACAGACCAGACAGACCCATCTGAGATAAGTCTTCTCTCTTGTCTTGTCAGGCGACAAGATCGTGATCATGGTGCCATACGTCTGCTATGATGACGAGATGGACGGCTACGGCAATCTCGAGACCATCGTGTTTGACATCTCCACCGGCCAGTTTGCCCTGCCTGGCTTCTCAGCACGGCCTCAGAAGACGAGCATCACACCCCCATAGCCCGGCCTGCTCCCCCGACCTCCGAGAAGCAAGCCGTACCAATCTCAGAAGCCCTACGAGCCCTACGAGCCGCCCCCTGCAGCATGTGCAGCGGCGGTGTGGAGCGGCAGGTGGGCTGCACACCACAGAAACGTCCCACGTTTGAACACAATGTACTCCCCGGTCTTTGTTTGCCGCCCAGATGCCTGTGTATAGTGAAGTTTTCGTGTTTGGCGGTGCGTCACTGCTGGATGAGGAGTGGGCTGCTGATGCGGACTGGGGCTGGTACGACGGCGAGGCACGACATGCGCAGAGCAAGCACTCCGAGATCAGTGTGCTGGGCGTCATGGACTGCAAGACAAACGACCAGATAGTCCCCATCGACAGACAGCACACGCAGGTGGGACGGGTGGAGGGGTGGGGAGCGGCAGTCTCAAAGCACCACACATCTCTCTGTCCTTGTCACTCATTTGTTGATCAGCTGACCTTCTCTGGGCGGTACGGCGTGCGGAAGGACGAGTGGCAGAGACAGCCATATCCACCACACGGCCACCTGGCTCTCGACTCAGAGGGACTCGACTCAGAGGTAGATAGATGCACACCCAAGAACCCAACACAGGCTGCAGAGACACACACGAGCACCGGACCTCCTTGACTCAGTGGTATGCGGAGCGGCGCTACATGCACGACCGTGACAAGACGGAGAGGCGGTGAGGCGGGCCAGAGGGGCGGTCGTGGAGGGACCGTCCGATGAAGATCTGGACCAGATGGAGCTGGATGAGTATCGCAACAGAAAGCAGAACCCCCCACACACAAAGTCGGTCAAAGAGACACGTACACAGAGATGACGAATCGTCATGCAATGCTTTGTCGCATCAGCAAGGTGTTCGGTTTCCCCAAGAGGCACACACGTCTGCAAGCTATGGATGAGTTCTTCCCTTCCGCTGGGTAAACGAAAGCGGACGCCCGCATGGACAGGAGCATCTACTTGTTTGTCTCTGTCCATGTCTCTGTCCTGCAGCGTCGTTCGAAGCGACCCTATGTTCTGGTGGGCAGACACGTGCATCAATTACGCATAGACGAGAGAGACCATCGATCGTTTTGATGTCTGCTGCTTGGCTGGTTGGTCGATGGGCTGGCTGCAATGGCCTGACTCGCAGGACGCTGCCGGCCTTTCGCAAGAAGTCTCTGGGTGGCCGTCAAGCAGAGATCACCGACTTCCTCCCGATCCAAGTCGATACGATGTAAGTGGATGAGAGTCGATTCACAAGCACCGGCAGCAGGCGCAGAAGTTGACGTGTTGCTCTCAGGCGCGTGGAGTCGACCATGAAGCCCGCCGAGCGCCCCATGAAGCCCACCGAGGGACAACCGACTCCACGATCCCCAAGAGACGCTGAAATGACCTATCACGAACAGTAAGGATAACCGATGAGGGTCGGGATGCTGCGCATTCATTGTCTTGATTTCTGCAATGCAGGTCTACTGGCCGTCGGGTGCAGTCATCGCTCGGCGGCTTTTTCACATTCAAGACGGCACGGCGGCAGACAATCAACAGAGGCTTCAGGGGCGGCAGGACGGGGCCGCCCAAGGGGAGGGCACCGTTGCCTCAGAGGCCTGCTGTCATCGACCTACTGGCACCCTGAAGGGCCTCCCTGCCATCGGACGGACCTGCCTTGACATATGACAGACCTCGCGTGTGCGTGTTCGATGGATGGATGGATGGATGGCTGCATGGATGGACTGACGTATCGGATTCATGCCGTGTGTGTGCCCCTGTGCCTTCAGCATGGCATTGCATGCTTTGATCGAAATCCGTCGCATTGTATCCGTGTCCGTCCATCTGCACCCCGCACGGAACACACGTACACACACACACACACACCGAGAGCACTCTCTGCAGACGTATGCTGTCCATGTGCACTGACAGAGAGTCAGAAGAAGTAAAGGCACGTCGGCGTGTGCATCATTCAAGCTCCAAACAAGTAAAAGACTGATGTGAAACACAGCTAAAACCAGCAGTAGGTCGCCATCCCAATAAGTCTATGTGCCCAGACCGACTGAGTCCAGCCCACTGCAACCGCCCACTTGCACCGACAGAAACAGGGAGAGGATCAGTAAGCACACCGCCTTGCAACGAGCGACCTGCATGAACAAACAAGGATGGATAAGAACTCATGCATCGTATGCTTGCTGCCGATCTGTTCATACTCCGCTCTAGCCTTACTCCGCCTCCATGGCGTCCACTTTGGCCCGGATCAGGGCCGCCGTGCGCGGGCACCGCTGAGCTGAGCTCCGTTGCCTCGGAACACGTGGCTCAGTAGTAACGATCCATAAATCACACGTTTGGCTTGGTTGGTGGAATAGGTGGAATACGTCCACGTGCACCAAGGCTGCAAACTCGTCAGTCGCTTTGTCACCGCACACGACCACATTTGTATTGCACCACCCCCACTCCGGGAAGCGGCCCATCCACACGTACGCCAGGCGACTGCCGCTCCACGTTGGGTCCATCCGGGAGGTGAGTTGTCCGAGCCGCTCCATCAGCTGCTGCTGGGCCGTCCGCGTCATGATCTCGTCTGGCTCGACGAAGCCGTGGATGCCTGCAATATCGGTGAAGATCGCGTAGAGGCACATGTCGGTGAAGGATGCGGCTATGTCGCTAGACGAGGTGGCTCCGTACCTGTCGTCTGCACACAGGCAGACAAACGAGCAAATTACTCCAAGCAGCCTCAGCTGTGTTGTTATGTGCTCCTTTTGCCTCACATATGACTGGTGGGTCTGATGTGTGGACAGCGGGTAGATCGCCTGGCAACATGTCGGGCGTCAGGAATCGGTTAAATGCCTCTGTAAGCGCCTGGCGGTCTCGAGATTTGATACGTTTGCTGAAGATAGACGGAAAGCCTACATCGTCAGCTCGAGAACGAAATAGCGAAAGCTGTCGCATAGCCGGGGGTTGGGAATCGAACACCATCTTGGTGCCCACTTGGCGCACGTCATCAGGAGTGATGATGATCGGCAGAGAAGGGAGGTGGCCGCAGTTCTTCAGCAAGTGGAGAAGCTGCAAGCAGCGCTCCCACGGCCCTCCCTCCTCGACAATGTGCGTCATCCGGAGCAGATAGTCCATCCAAGTTATCCTCTTCCGGAGCCCCAGCAGAAGCAGCAGTCCACTCCAAAGAGGCTTTTCAATCAACTCCACGACTTGTCTGTGCTTGTCATACACCCGTCTTAGGAAGAGGGCTCCGAAGAGCTCGTCCAGCAGTCCCGGCCTTACAGCTTGGTAGCGAATGACGAACCTGACGAGGACCGCGAGGAAGGACAGCAGGAGAACCACCGCCACGGCACATACCAATATCAAGCACCAAGTCCACCAGGCGCATGATGGTCCTTCGCTGAGGCAGGGAAAGGTGTGCGTGAGCACCCACAAACAAACCAACCCACAACCAAGCCCGACAAGAGAGTATCCCACAGCTTCCCCGAGAAAAATCCAAAGAGCCACATCCACCAATTCGCTGACAGTGGCCGTGAGGCAGTGCTGCAGGTACGCCATGGTCGTCTTGTGCCGCTTCGCCACCTTGTTCGCCACTGCCATCACCCCGTCCAGGCCCCTCTCGCGGATGGATCTGTCGAGGCGGGCCGTCAGATAATCCTCACTAATGAGATGACAGCCGACGCTCTTCGATGCAGCTCGAAGGGTTCCGCAGCTGACGGAAGGGAGGAAGCTGCTCACCTCTGTGAGGATCTCCTCCGGCAGGCCCGCGATATGGCAATCGGAATGACCTCCACTCATCGTGGGAGGCGGAGAATGTCCATAAAAGCACGTGCGTTAACGAATGAACGAGGAACGACCGGAGGAACGACGCAAGTTTAGCTCGCAGGCGGTGGATCGAATTCATCACCATGTCTGCCGTCTGAAGTTACTGCATGGACGTGCAAACAGATCACTCCACCTCCCATTGTTTGCAGTGATGCTGACGGGCTGTCCACGATGTGTGTTGAGATAAACGTCGCGACTCTCATACACAGACATAGAAGAATGACCGACAAAGGAACAGACAGCACGAACAGGCAACGCAACGCATCACATGAATCTGTGGCGGCCAGGCAGGCACTAGCCCTGACTGACCACCGGTCACCATTCGTCGGTGACACAGCCCTCCGACGCGCTCTTCACGTTCTTGATGTACTTGAGCAGAGTGCCACGCTCAACCTACACACAGACACATTGATGAATGCTAAGACGCAGCCAGGCCAGATCTTTCGTCTGACGCATGCACCTTGTAAGGCGGCGGCGTGAACTGTTGTCTCCTCTTGTCCATTTCCTCATCGGATACGTCCACGTCGATCTTGAGTGTGTCTGCGTCGATGGTGACGGTGTCGCCGTCACGCACAAGTGCGATGGGGCCGCCCTCCTGCGCCTCAGGACAGATGTGACCGATGATGAATCTGCATACACAGCACAGCACGGAGAGAGAGTGGGTTGAGCCGTATGCTGCCGTGAGTTGAGCTGCTTTGTGTTCTGCCGTGTCGGTATGTGTACCCGTGGGATCCTCCTGAGAATCTCCCGTCTGTGAGGAGGGCCACATCCTTGCCGAGGCCAGCACCCATAATCACTGACACACATGGCAGTCAACGGATGGATGGATAGATAGAACATACACACACTCACCTGATGTCGGGGTGAGCATCTCGGGCATCCCCGGCCCGCCTTTCGGACCCTCGTACCGAATCACTATCACATCGCCCTGCATGAACCCACCACACAACACAACACAAACGATGCCCACATACGCTCAGACAGAGAGGTGCCTCTCATGCCCGTCTGCCGTTCCCCCTTACCTTTTTGATTTGTTTGTTCTCGACAGCGGCCAGCATGTCCTCCTCGCAGTCAAACACTCGAGCAGGGCCCGTGAAGCGCGACCCCTCCTTGCCTGTAATCTTGGCCACCGCACCATCTGGCGCAAGATTGCCCCGCAGGATCTTGACATGTGCTTTGGGCTGCAGGGGCCTGCTGACGGGCAGGATGACCTTCTGCGCATTGAAGTCCAAAGGCTTTGCCGCCTGTCAACCCCCACACAGATGCGCATCAGTCGGCTGCGGCGGGGCAACCAACAGCCCCTCCGTGTGTTGTGTTGGCTGCCTCACCTGCAGGTTCTCCTTGATGGTTTTGCCGGTGACAGTGAGGCAGTCGGGGTGAAGGTATCCCTCTTCCAGCAGGTGGCGCATGACGGACGGTATGCCGCCGATCTTGTGGACGTCCTCCATGACATAGGTGCCGCTGGGCTTCAGGTCTGCGATGAGGGGCGTCCTGTCGCTCGCACGCTGGAAGTCGTCGATGGTCAGGGCGATGCCCACCGACCTCGCCATGGCGATCAGGTGCAGCACCGCGTTGGTGGAGCCGCCAAGAGCCATCACGATCGTCATGGCGTTCTCGAAGGCCTGATGATCCAGCAAGACAGATCATATCACAGTGTACTAACAGCTTTCCTTCTCCGTCGCAGCCATCCCGTCTGCCCTCACCTCTCTGGTCATGATGTCCTTTGGTCGTATGTTCTTCTCCAGCAGTGCCTTGACGGCACTGGCCGCCTTCTCGCACTCCTGCTGCTTCTCGGGCGACACAGCCGGGTTGGATGACGAGTACGGCAGCGACATGCCTAGAGCCTCGATGGCACTCGCCATGGTGTTGGCCGTGTACATGCCGCCACACGCCCCGGGGCCCGGGCAGGCGTGGCAGACGATGTCCTGGCGCTCCTCCTCGGTGATGGTGCCGCTTAGATACTGCCCGTAGGACTGGAAAGCCGACACGATGTCGAGCACCTCCCCCTTGGCGCTCTTGCCTGGCGCGATGGTGCCGCCGTAGAGCATCAGGGAGGGGCGGTTGAGGCGGCCCATGGCAATGATGCAGCCGGGCATATTCTTGTCGCAGCCGGGGAGGGTCACCAAACCGTCATACCACTGAGCACCCATCTGCAGACAGACAAACAAGCCAACCAGCATCACAACACACTACACTACACCGGCGGTTTCTCCCTCCCTCCCTCCCTCCCTCCCTCCCAGGTGCGACAACAGACCAGTGTTTCGATGCTGTCAGCGATGAGGTCCCTGGATTGGAGCGAGAAGGACATGCCGTCGGTGCCCATGGAAATGCCGTCGCTCACCCCGACAGTGTTGAACTGGAAGCCCACCAGCCCCTCGGTCTGCAGCTGCTCCTTGACGCGGTGCCCCAGGCCCAGTAGGTGCATGTTGCAGGGGTTGCCCTCGTACCACACGCTCGCCACGCCCACCTGGGGCTTGTTGAGGTCCTCTGGCTTCAGGCCCGTAGCTATCAGCATCGCCTGGGAAGCGCCCTGTGCCTTGGGCTGCGTGATGCGACAGCTGACGCGATTCAGCTTGGACATATCCTCGATGTCTGGGGTGGTCGCGAACAGGCGTGTGGTCGTCATCTGGCCGAGAGAAGATGCGGCTGCGGCGGCAGGGCGGAATGCGGATGAGGCGGATATGCGCGTGGGGATGGCAGAGGGCCTGAAACGCATCAGCGAGCGATGGCGCGATGAGTGATCTTGTGGCGGGCTGCTGGAAAGCGGTCCAAAGGATGGCACGAAGGATGATGCTGACAGTGCTGTGGCCTCACGATGTGCGCTGATGCCGAAGGTCAATGCAGCAAGCAGGCAGAGAGAGATGACCATCAAACGGGGGCGGGAGAGATCAATGCATAGATCTGCGCTGCAGGCACCCCAAAATCAATCTGCGGGAGGTAAGGGCTTCACGGATCCATCCACCACCGAACGTCTTCAATTCGCTCCAAGCTCGCAGCCAGGCTCGCAAAAACGGAGAGGAGAGGCAAAAGATGACTCGACGTTGAAGAATCTCGCGAAGCGGACATCCGTCGACGCGCTTGCTTAAGCCAGCTGCAGGATCTGAATCCGAAAACCCTCCCGCTTCATCGTCACACTCGCCTCCTCCTTCGGCTGAGACCCTGTGCGGTTGATCCATTCCCTCCCTGTCTGGAACGCATCTATCTGTGTTGATCATGCTGGAGGCGTTTCAGGATTACTTGATGCAGCAGTGGCCTGATGCTGTGGCAGCGCTGGGCAACCAGAAGGGCAAGAACGGCGGCGGGTTCCTGCCACGCGTGTCGACATGCCGCAAGCTTTTCACGGTGGCCAGCGGGTTCGTGTCCCTCAGCCACAAGGAGTTCGATGCGGTGCCGCGGGATGTGGAGAGCCAGTTCCTTTGCCTCGTTGGGCAGCGGGTGGGCGCCGAGCTGGCGCACCGATACGACAACCTGTCGGCACCAGAGATGGAGAAGATACTCTCCGACTACCTCACTGGTATGTGCGTCTGGGAGGGAGGGACGGAGGGAGGGAGGGGTGAGCAGAATTGGAGCACGGAGATGTGTGTCTGCTCTCTCTGTCGTGACCATCAGTCGGCTGGAAGAATCCTCATCGGGGCATCCAGGCCGTCTACCGGACGCTGGACGAGGTGCCGCTGGCGCTGACGGAGGGGACCTTCCTCGTCCTGGACTGGAAGAAGTCACACGTCCTCGGGCCCTCAGGATGGGTACGCACGGCAGGGCGATGCCATCCCATGCAACACACACCAAGAATGCAATGCATACACACACACACGTCCATTCTTTTCAGGGTCCGAAGCGCATCTTGGGATACGTCGGCCTGCCGCACAGCCTCGAGGCCCTCCCGCCGCCTTCCGACGCACCGGTGCCCCATTGCCACGCCCTGGCCCTCCCCCCGCCCCGTGGACACCCAGCCCATGCAGCGGCCGCCAGTGCCCTCGCGGCGGCCAAGCCGCATGGCGAGACGGAGAAGGTGGGTCTGGCCCTGACCACCTGCGCGCTCTTCCCCTTTTGTGACTTGCGGCTGTGCAAGCTGGAGCTGCCTTTGCCACCGGCACTGTCCCAGCGGATGGAGGAGAAGGGCTTCCAGGGGAGGCCCGCCATCATGAGGGCCTGCAAGATTGCCGTAAGTCAAGGGAAGGGCGAGGCGATGAGAGAGGGCCGATCCATCCGTGCGCGTGATTGATTTGTTGGCATGTTTGTTGCAGACGTATGGTGACGAACAGAAGAAGTCGGCTGAGCGGCGGCGGCAGGAGCGGGCATTCGCCAAGGAATGCGCTGCCTCATTCGACAAGATCAGACTGGTTCGAACAGACAGAAGAGACTACCGAAGACGTATATACGTGTGCGAACGCCTTGTTTGTGTTTGTTGTCCACCGTCCCCTCCCCTTGCAGAATGAGGATGTGTGTCGGGGTTTCCAGTGGGCCTTCAGTGACCTGGCCCGCCGCAACGTCATCTACCACCCCAAGTACCCCGCACTGGGGGGCGGACCCAAATGCGCACGCGTCCTCCAACAGGTAGGTACAAACGCACTCAAGCACGCAACACTTTACCGTGGGGCAGGCACACGTGTTCTCTTTGTCCTTCCGCTCTTCCGCTGCAGTCTGCGAACATTTGGGACGCGTTGAGTCACATTGTCGTGGATCTGCCTGAGACGACCCACCCCCGCATCCCCCGCCCCCTCCCTCCCACCACTCAGCCGACAGAGAACGACCCCAAGCTGCCCTTCCCGGTGCCGGCCATGGCCGCCCCTCCCGGGCCCGAGGCAGGTGTCCTCAAGTTCAATGACCCGCCCAAGGTGGAGACGCTCGTCGACCCTCCGATCTTCTCGTCCATCCCCGAGGGCGTCGGCATCCCCGCGGCGGTGCCGTACCAGGTGATAGCCAACCTGGCCAACAGGCAGAAGCTGCTCATTGCTGAGGGCGAGAATGAGGAGGGCAACTCGGACGGCGACACCATCAGCAATGTCAAGGTGGAGAAGAAGACCGGCGACGGGGCGACGGACAGCCCCGATGGACGCCAGAGGTCGCCACCATCCAGTGGGACGGCACCCTCACACCCTGGCGGCAAGGGCGATCAGTGCAGGACGGATGGCGGCGACACCGACACCGAGGCAGAGAGGACCGAGCGCCCTGATGCGCTGGCGGCCAGCAGCAGCAGCACCCCAACCCCAGCGCCTCCCCGCGATGGATCTTCTGTGCCGATGAATCTGCCGCATCATCCCTTTGCCGTGCCGGTTCTGTCGCCCGCTGTCTTCGCCAATGGGATGGGCGGCATGAGGGGCCCCTATTCCTTCTCGCTGCCCGGCGCAACATCCCACCCACCGGTGGCATTCGTGCGCCCGCCCTTCTTCACTCCCCGCCCGCCAATTGCTGCTGCGTCAGCAAACCCACAGCCATCGCCTTCGCCGCCAGCACCAGCGCCATCGTCCGCTCAGCCCAGCGTGGTGTCCGGGATGCCTGTGGCTGAAGTGACGCAGCCTGCTGGCGGAAGTCCGGCCGCCGGAACGGCTAAGGGCGGTGTCGGTGGAGGCAGCTTCTCTGTCCCGCCATCTCAGGTCAGCATCCGTCCGGTGACGCCAACTGGCGCTCCGGGATCTGTTGGGTCGCCCGGCGTCTACCTGCGGCCCCTGGTGATGAACATGAACATGAGTGTCAACGTCACCTTCCCTCTCACCTTTCCCTTCCCCGGCCCCCGGCCAGCGTTCGTGGCGCCCCATCCAAGCTTGTCTGGTGCTGCTACCGTTGTCGGCAGTGTGGCGGTGTCCCACCCGCCCAGCTATCACCCCAAGACGGCCGGCCTGGTGACGACCTCCACTCCCTGCCGGCCCCCTCCCCCGCCAGTAGAGGTGAAGAGAGAGTCAAACGCTCAGCCGCAGTCGACACCATCTCCCGTTGCTGGACCAGAGCAGGGGAGTGAGTCGGCGGCTGGGACGACGGATGCGCCCGTCAAGGCGACGAGTGACTGCCTCCCGCCGCAAAGATCAGATGCGCATAGTTTGAGATCGTTTGGCGTCCATCCGGGATCCCCAGCCACGGACTCTGTGGGCCAGACCACCCAGGCGGATTCCTCGTCATCGACTGCCGGCCCTTCGCAGGCGCACGACAATCCACAGCCAGACTTCGGTGACGTGCCACCGGCCAACCCCTCAACCACAACCGTCCACTCTGCTCACGAAGACGGCCACCATGCCTCCTCATCGATTGGAGCGCTGCTGTCGCCCCCTGGGCCCAAGCCCCTCCACTTCCTCTCGCCCCCAGACGGGCTGCTGGCTGACCCGTGTCTTGTGGAGGGCATGGACCTCGGCCCCGGGCTGTCGTCTTCTTTCGATACCTTCCAACATGACGGCGGGTCAGCCAGTGGCGACCATGGCTTCGCACCTTTCTCGATGCATGGTGGCGGTGGCGAGCCGAGGATGCCGTGGGCATATGAGGACATGCATGGCGACGGGAGGGGGGCGGATGGCCACCAGAACGTCAAGGACCAGGGGGGGCTGGGGTCACCCGGGGTGGTGCCCAGGAGTGCGCTGGAGGGGCCGGCAGCGACGTCTTCGCCAGACGGCCATCAGCACGGCATGATCCCGCCCCACATGTCGCACATGCCATTCGACCTGCTGCCCCCGTCCGGCCACAGCCTCCTCCCCATCTCGGCTACCTTTCAGTTCACACAGCAACCGCTCTTCCCTCCGGCCACAGGCCCGTCCTCTCTGATGCTTTCCAACCCGCTGCTGCTTCCCGGCGCGAGGATGGCCAAGGGCGACTCAGAGGGGCTCATGGGCTCTTGCGGGAGTCCATCCATGGACCACCTCCACCCATGTGGCACTACGGCACATGACACCATCAGCGGCGCTTACCACCGTCAGCAAGACAGCAGGAAGCGGACTGTGCGTCGGTCGACGCAGTTGGACGAGATCGAACCGTTACCCCCGCAGCTGTACCCCTCCGACGGGCAGATCCCCTTCTCATCTAGTTGCTCGCCAGAGGGACACGAGAAGAAGATGCAGCTGCTGGTCAACCACTGCGGCAAGGGTATGACCCCACTCTCGCCCGCACAGCAAGCCGGCGGCAGCAGGAGGGATGCGAGCACGACATCAGCTGCTGCTGCAGTGAGGGGGCAGAGGTTGGACAGCAAAAGGTCGACACAGCGGTACTCTGGCTTCTCACGCGGGTCGAGTGAGCATCCCCCGGTGACGGTGCATCCCAGCCGCGTGGAAAGCGACAGCGACAGTGGCGACAGCTCCGACGAAGAGTCTGGCCCTCCCTTCACCACCACCCATCCCCACGGATGGCACCTTCCTCCCCATGGCGCCGCGCTGCACACTCCTGACACTGCCGTCAAGGCAGGACACCCCCCATACTACAGTGATGTTCTTCCCCCATTCAGCCGTCAGTCGATTGCTGTGGCCGACGCCGCTGCCCGGCGAAAGCGGAAGGACGTCGGGGTGGGGGTCGGAGAGGCAATGAGATCCGACAAGCGAGCTCGGGTGGGGGGTGGTGGCAGGGCCCCGCCACTGGAGATGACGAGTGAGGCCGACAGGCCCGCGATGCAGCTGCCAAGTGTGTTTCGGGATGGGCATGATGACGAGCCGGGCGGGATTGGCGTGGCCCCCAGGTGCTTGAATGGCGGCCATCGGCCGATTCAACAAGGCGGAAGCGGCCAGGGAGGGCACGGTGAGGCACACGACAACAAGCATGTTTCGATGCGTGCTGGTGCTCATCGTCTCTTGATGTGTGGCTGCCCGTCCGTTTGCAGGTCCATCATGATGCTGGCGACGCGTCAGGGGCCAGCATGTGAATGATGGGTGCGTTTCTCGGTCCGCGGTCCTTTTGGTCTCCTTTTGTCTTTTGATCGATTGCTTTCAAGACGTCCGTCGGTCCATCGGTCGGTCCATCGGTCCAGGGCAGGGCATGCACGGGTGGGTGCCTGCGTCCTCCTCCTTGTACAGTGGTATCGGGCCCGCCACAGGCGAGAGTCCACACCCATGGCTGTGCTGTATGCAGGCACATCAGCAGTGTTTTTGCCCATGTTTTGCCCCTCACTGACTGGGTAGGGTAGGTTAGGTATTGCCCTCTTGTGTTGATCGGTGCACATGGCGTTTTACCCCGTGCCATCCACATCAATCCATCCCATCCCTGACTGGTGTCTGCGCGACGAAGCGACGTCGTACGTGAGCACGTGGACGTCTTCTTGCGAGTGATGCGATCGATTGACCAGCGACTCTTTTTTCCACGTACTGAAAGGAGGGATGGGGGGAGTGCGGACCTGTGCCGGTCAGTCGGTCAGTCAGTCGGTGAAACAGTCAGCACTCGGCTGCTTTCACCTCATTCTCGACTGCAGTGCAGTGCACTCCCTGGCCGTTTGCTGCTTGCGGAATGTTGCTGTATGTCAGTCTCTTCGGTTGGGAGGAGGGATGTGAGTGAGTGAGTGAGCAACAGACTGACAGGGACGCCTTGCTGATGCCACACCCTCCCTCATCGCATCAGGCAGGCAACTCGGGCATGTGCTTGCCTGTCTGATTACATGAGTGCGTTTGTGGTGTCAACAAGAAGGCGATACCTCGGATGTGACCATTACGTAACTACTGAAGGCCATGTATTGACCTCACGACAAAAAGGGGGCATTAATCATCCCTCCATCCATCCACCATGTCTGTCCGTCCATCCATCCATCAGTCATCAGTCTACAGGCGACGCGTCATGCCATGCACCCACGCCAACCAACACCACTGGTGACCTCGTGACCTCTCTCTCCCGCGTCGGTCCGTCCTGACGGGCAGCTACGCTATACACAGGGCGGGGATGAAACGGCTGGCCAGGCCAGGCAAGGAACGAATGAGTGAGCTCACGAATGCCGTGGGCGGGGTCGGGTCACTTGGAGTGTAGTGGGACGTCGCCGTAGGAAGAGGCGTACCTGGCCTTGCCCCACGACCAAGGTACATACCTAGTGGAGTGGCCACACACACACACACGATAGAATGAAATGAATGCACGAGCTTGATTCGATTCGCCACACCCAACACAACACGTGGCTGGGCTGGCTGGGTGGCTGGCTCACTCACCGGTATTTGATCATATGCCGAATCTGCTGCTTCATGGTCTGAGATGAGATGAGAGCACACGGAGGGACACACGCAGCGCAATCCCCAATCGATGCATCCGTCCGTCCGTCGAGCCATCCATCTCGAGTGCTAGAGTCTAGCTAGCGTCCGTCCGCTTACCAAGACGAAGAGCACCAGGAAGTACATCAGAAGGATCGGCCAAAAGACCGGCCTGACACACACCACACCGAGCGAGCAACGAAACACATCATGACAAGGAGATCTTCCTCTCCCTCCTCGTTGTTCCTTCCCTCCCCCTCAATAATCCATGGCTTGGCTGGCTGGCTTACAGGTCGAACATTCGAAAGAAGGTCATAGTGATGGATATGACGACTGCCCGTGTGGCCGACTGCCAGCACTTGAACTCAGGCAGCCTCCGCTGGAAGGGGCGGTACTCCTCAGCATCGCGCACGGGTAGCACGGGCCCCTCGGTCTCGGGGTCGACTTGTGGCGAGAGGAAGCCGATGAGGAGGTTGAGGAGGTAGATGCCCAGCCCGTATGTGACAATGTAGAAGCCCTGCGTGAGGTAGATCCGCAGCACGAACAGCGCCACCATGGCGAAGAAGAAGAGCCACCTCCCCTTGATGTAGGTCGCCGTTCGGTCGATGTAGCTGCTGTAGATGCGACCGAACGACTTGGCCAGCCGCACCGGGAACGTCGCCTCCACTATCTCCTCGCTGGCCATCATGATGCTGAATCAACTCCACAGACACAGATGCACCTCCCAGACGGTCGTCGGACGTGGATCGTCTCCTACACGCTTTGGGGAGCTTTCAGCTACGCCTCTGCGGCTGTGTCGGTGCCGAGCGCCTCTTCGATGCCCGTTCGGCAGCAAAATCGCCCTGACGCCGGATTTTTTGTCGAGTTTGGGAGCTCGACAGCTCGGCTGCGCCTGACGGCTGTCGTACGTGTCCAAAACAGAAGGAGAGGTCTTGTTCTGTTATCTAAGCTCGCAGATCGACACACAGCGGTTTTCGGGAGATGCGGGCTTAGCGGTGTCCAGAAGGTGCGGAGATCTCTCTCGAACGCTCCTGTGACGTCAACCAGGGGCCTTTGAGCCACCAATCCCGAACTTCATCCAGACGTTCCTCCGTGCCCCAGTATCGCACGCTGAGCATGCTGGTCGGGCTGATCTACTCTCATTGAGGGGGCAGAGGACACCCAGGCAACCTCCTCCCCTCCCAGGCTCCGACAGGCCGTTTTCCCGGCACACCCAGATCGCGTCGGCAAGCACGGAATTTCTTCCTCAGATCAAGGCGTTTGCCGCTGGGCTGCGACGGAGATGCACGTGTGGAGCGGCTGAGAGGCCCGGCATCCCCCGCTCCGCCGCCAGGGGCAATGTACTCTGTGTGCCCGGCAGACAGAGGCATATCTACACAGGTCAGTGGCACCGATGGGCGTGGCGAGTGCGTGTGGGAGGGGTGCACGTCTCACGGAGGGTCGTGGGGAGGCGTCGTGGGGGGGTGGGAGGGAGGCGGGGAGGCCTTTGCAATGTGACTTGACCTGCGGGTGACTGAGTGGATGGATGGATGGAGGCAGCGCAGTGCTCTTCCTTCAGCTAGAGAGGAAGAGAGCGAGGGGTAGCCAGTAGGGTGGGTGCGTCTGTGGCTTGGCGTGGCTGCCTTGTCTCGCTGATGTGAATGCCGTGGACCCACTGCCTGTCTCATAGGTGTGAGCTCACTTATCCCCTCTCTCTCTCTCTGTGTGTGTGTGTTGTGCATTGCGTGTCAGGTACCGGCAGCTTCATCGGCGACAGAAGGACTGCAACACCGGCAAGGTCCGGCGGGTGATGGCCTTGTAGCAACAGCGTCGCCACACCACGCCACCGACAGCAGCACCCCCCTACACCACCACCACCCCTTCACGTCGACGACCACACAGGAACCCGCACACCTCACCTCAGGCAAACTCACACAACGGTATGCACAACACAACACACACACCAGCACACACACGGCACACGAGCACCAGCACCAGGCTGGTCCACACTCACACGCACACACAAAGCTGTGTTGTCAAGGGGTGATCGATCTCTCTCTCTCTCTCTGTGTGTGTGTGTGTGCAGGTTGGAATCAGGTTGTTGTGTGGAAGAAAGCGGCACAGATCCGGCAGATCCCGAGAGGCGGCCCACGTCTGCCCAGTCCACACACTACAGCGACAAGACCTCCACATCAGTCAGCGGTACGTTAGCCCCCCTAACCCAGACACTCACCACACCCTTGACATACCCCCACGACCAACACAACCCCCTCACTCACCCACACCAACTCAATTTGTCCGTGTGTGTGTGTCCATCGTCCATCAGAGGATCCGATGCACTCGGCGGGTGCCGGTGGTGGTCCAGGGGAGCTGCACGACTCGTTTCGACACGGCCATGGACCCGTCAACAACAAGCCTGACGTCCACACCCACACCCACACACAAGCCAACCCCAACAACACCAACACCACCACAAGCAGTGGAGGAGGACAACAACCAGACCAACACCAACACCCACCATACTCGTCGCCCTTCCACCACCACTCGCGGCACGCATCGCTGCCAGGGTTCGGCTGGCATACCAACGGCAGCACGACCAACGAGCCGACCAACAATAATGTCACGGAGGAGAGTGAAATGGTGGACAGCAGGGGGGGAGGAGCAGGTGACGATGGCACTGCAGCTGCTGGTGGGGCGTGGTCGACCACCAGCCACCATGCCCAACGTCACCATCTGCCGCCTCCCCCACCCCCACCCCCAGACAACCATCATCCCCCCAACAGCCCCAACCCCCCCAGGGACCACCCTGCTGTCGGTGGAGGGGGAGGGGGAGAGGGCAGGGGCAGGGCATCCTTCCAGTCGCCACACGCACACGAGTGAGCGCAACGCAGGAGGGCTGCTTTGCTGCTTGGGTGGGGTGGATGAAGGCGCGGATTGAATCGATCGCTTCATTTCATGATTGTGTGGATGTGATGTGTGTATGTTGGTTGTGTCTGTCAGGTTGAGCTATGGTCTGGGTGTGAGCCCGTATCCAATCGGGCGGTCCAGCAGTGCCCTCGGCCACGTGTCGGGGTCGGGCGGAGGCGGACCCACATCACCCGGACCACCAAGACCGCCTGTCGCAAGTGAGTCGGACAGACCACAGCCTCTGCTGCCTTCTGTGATTGACAATAGCCCTTGTGCGCCGCGCCCACCCCACACTCACTCAGGTCCGTTGCGGCGGCGCGCGCAGACGCCTGAGGTGCCCAAGTACATCCGCGATATCTTCGGCCAGGCCAGCAACCACGTCAACCTCACCCCGGTGCACCACAGGGGCAAAGGTCTGACCCCCCGCTCCCACACAGACCGACAGACCAACTGGCTGAGTGGCATGTGTGTGGCGTGTGGTGTGGTGTTGTGTGGTGTTGTGCAGGTCACGTGGAGCGTGACGAGGAGTGCGCCGAGGAGGGTGAAGGGGATGGCGATGGAGAGGAGGAGGAGGAGGAGGAGGAGGAGATCATGGCGCTTACCAACCTGCAAGACAACGAGCGACAGTAAGCCAAGCTAAGCTATACCCCCGCCGCCCCGTCCCCCTCCGTACCATTGGTGGGTGTGTGGCTGCATTATCTGGTCAGTGACAGCGAGGCCTCTCTGTCGCTATCCATCCCGCCATCTTCGTCGTTCATCCTCCACAAGGACGCCCCAGGCGCAGAGGGGGCCGATCTCTCACACAGCAGCGGACCAGGTGAGACTCAACCCCACCACCACCACCACCGGCACCCTTGAACACATCACTTGTGTGTCGGTTCGGCTTGTCCTTTGGCAGTAGTGCGAGCGGCATCGGCGGACATCCTGCACCCGTCCAACAGTGCGCATCAATTCCCCCACACTATGGGCCACACCTACCACCCTCGCCACAAGTACCCACTCCCACTCATCCGGCACGGCCAGGGCCAGGAGGACGGCACCGCCAGCAGCACCCACACGCCCTACGCCGCACACCCCTCTCACCCTCACTCTCACTCTCACACCCACCACCAGCAGCAGGGGTTTGTATCATCTTTCGGACCTGGTGGTGGCCACCATGACCACGACTCCAGCCTGGCGCGGCTGCACTGCTCGCCGGTCCTGCCGCGGTCTGTGGCTCATGTGGACCATCCCTTATCGTCTTCTATGTCGCCAGACGGCAGGGAGGCCATCACTGGCCTGCCACGGATCCCCTTCACGACCGAGGAGCACCCAGCCCCACCTCCACACCATCACCATCAGCAGCAGCACCACCACCAGCTGCAGGATGACGTCCATGAGCATGCCCTCGTGCATGGCCACGGTGGGACGACCGTCATCACCTCCATCCGGGACAAGAACGGCGAGCACAAGATGCTCGAACCACCCGTCGCCGTCCTCCCGCTCAACGTCCGCAGCCTCACACACCCCCACGCCCACGCCCAGGCCCCCACCATGAGCATGGGCATGACCATGGGTGGTGGCGGGTGTGTCACCGACTCTGTGGCGAATGCCTCGTCCACCCCCAGCCCCATTGACGGCACCACACACGCCAATGGCACCACAGCAGCGCCGCTGTCGCTACAGCAAAGGCGGGGAACTGGCCGGATCTACGGCCCAGGCAGGGCTGCGAGTGAGTCGTCCGGCGGGGGGAGCAGCATGAGTGGGTGTGGGGGCACTGGGCGGGGTGGTCGGTGTGTGGGGGACAACAGTGGCAACAGCGGCAGCGGGCCTTCGTCGCGATTTTTCACGCCCAAGAGTCGCGACACGTACGAGGGTGCGCCTGACTTGTCGGGTCGGGTAATGGAGCTGTCGAAGATCCAGAGTGGGAGCAGGTACCTGCAGCGGCAGCTGTGCAAGGGGCACCCCGAGACCGTCATGCTCATCCTATCGGTCAGCTCAGCTCAGCCAGGCGGCAGACAGATGGATCGATCCGACGTGTGCTGTGCGTGAGACGTCTGTCTCTTTTGTTCACATTGCACTGCACTGCAGGAGGTGGAGGAGAATCTCACCACGCTGATGGTACGTAAGGAAGGGAAGGGACACAAAGGGGTGGTTTGTATGTGGGTACCCTTATTGATCCATTCTCTCTCCCTCCCTCCGTCCCTCCCTCCGTCCCTCCCTCCGTCCCTCCCTCCCTCCCTCCCTCTCCTCTCTCTGCCATAGACTGATTCGTATGGCAACTACCTGTGCCAGCAGCTGTTCCAGGCCTGCAGCATACGACAGAGGAAGAACATGCTCGAGAAGGTGACTGACGTGACACAAGCAAGAACCACCGAACCGACCTCACAATGGTATGGTTGGAGTCCCTTTGCTGTCTCCCTCCCTCTCTCCCTCTCAGTTGCGTCCGAACGCCACGCGCATCGCCAAGGACCGCAGGGGCACCCACGCCCTGCAGTCACTCATTGGTAGGTATATGCCTATCCCATCAGCCACACCAAACCACACGACGCAAAGCAACGCACCAGCAGTGAGAACATCCCTCCCTGTCTGTCTGTCTGTCTGTCTCTGCCATGGCTGTGTGTGCAGGTTTGTTGAGCACAGCTGAGGAGGAGGTCATGTTGATCGACACGTTGCGTGACCACCTGGTTGAGCTGGCCTCCGACTGCAACGGCACACACGTGGTGCAGCGCATGCTCATCTGCTTCACCGAACAGGGAGTGGACGAGGTCTTCCACCAAATCAGAAACAACATCACCGAGGTCGGTCACACAACACACACACACAGATGGAGAGAGTGGCAGAGGTGGTGTGTGGATGCCATGGGTGTGTGCAGGTGGCGCAGAGCCCATATGGCCTGTGTGTGGTGAAGAAGTGCATCACTTTGGCGACGGAGGGCTCCCGATTCCACCAGGCCATGCTCCACACCCTCTGCACACACGCCATGCACCTCGTCCAGAGCCCCTACGGCAACTACGCCGTCCAACACGCAATGGACGTGGGAGACAAAGACCCGCTCATAAGCACACATACATAATGGAGGGGTGGGTGGGTGCCTGT